AGCAGTGTGATAGGGTGTCGGGGAGGTCCCAGACACGCACACATTCATAGTCGCACCAAACACACACAAGCTTAAGTTCCTAATTTTCCACAAAATATCTTACTCTAAAACCTACCTCTAATAAATAAAATTAATCTTTTTATTAGTATCAAAGTATTTTGAAATAGTCATGTTTTTTAAAGAGTTTTGCTATGCATAAAATAGCCCTAAAGCTTCTTATAAGTACCTTAGACAAAAGAGCCTAAATGCAAAGTAAATACTTAGCACTCCAAAGTTTTATCTCCGACTCTGAGACAACAAGGGTTTTCTGAAGTGTTGTTCAAACCCTGCTGTCAATTAAAGTAATGTCTGAATTGTTAAAGATTAGTGTTACACCGATACCGATACCAGTATCGGATGGGGCCCCGATACTGCCCTAAAATGGTGGTATCAGTATCGGCGAGTACCAACAAATAGGGCACCGATACCATTTTGAGAGCCATAAGTTTATTCAACCATTGTCACCCACTCCTGGTAGGCGATAAAAAGTTGTACTGGATTCACTTTGTATTCGATTTTTTCCTGCTTCACAAAGGTAGGCAGCAGCTTGACAAAGCCATGATGGCAATTATTTTATATTATTATGATATCGGTATCGGCCGATACTGCACAGCCAGGTGTCGGGTATCGTATCGGGGCCAAAAAATGGCATCGGAGCAACACTATTAAAGATAGAGAATAAGGATTCTCTAAAGGATTTTCTGAGAATACTTAAAGTCTGAAGAGGGGTTTGCTTGTCTTCTTCCAGGCCCTTCAGGTAGTGGTAGAGCAGGGCAAGGTTTTGACTGATTATTGTTAAAGTGAACGTTTCCTTACTATATAAAGATTTGGATCTTATAAAAACAAAAGGTTCCAGTAATTTTGGATGACAATGATAATCAGACTTTTTTATGTTACTAATTACCTGAATACGCCTGTTTAAAAATTGCAACATTTTTCAGAGCAGTTGTTGCCAACCTGCAACCACAGCCAAGCAATTACTTTAAAAAATGTAAGAGTTATAACATTAGCTGGTGAAGATAACTTTTTCATTCCTAAATGGACATTTTGAACTGAAAAAGATTTCTGGATGGGAAGCGAAACGTCTTCAAACTTGGAAACAAAGTCCAGTGGACTGTTTTTTTTAAACTTTTGGAAAGTTATAGCATTACTTTTGTTAACACAATTTTGGGAAACACCCCTGCAACCAGCTGTATTGTGACAAATGACCCTTTTATTTTTTTGGTTATTAAACGTGTGCATAATGTTTTGACACTAGTGACTCTAATTTTGAAGTGGACTTGACAGAAAAGGGGTTTCAGAAAGAGAGGGAGACATAAAGGGTTTGCAGGTCATGAACCAGGTACAGCTAGATCAAGGACGGAAGTCTCCTCACATGGGCCACCTACATCACTCCTGCATCATCCCACATATTTAGATTTTGTGAAATTCGGATACTTATACATGGAAATATTACTTATGATTTAAACTCTAGTGACAGAAAATCTGAATCCCAGCTTAACTGAATCATTACTGACTCATCGTATAAAAAAAGGACTAAAGATAAGGACAAATCAGCCATATTTAGAAGGAATATTTTGCTGGTCCTATCTCCAGTTGTCTATGGGTGACTGGTCTACGGGGGACCTGTAGACCCTGGACAGGGTTTAGTGTATATGATATTGTAAAATGCATGTATCATTCTTAACCGACTGTTGTGGTCGAATCTGTTCAGAGAAACGAGGGCTGTTCAGCAGAACCTTTTGAACTGAAGTAAAACCAAACCTTTTCCTCTACTTAAAAGTAGAAGACTTAGTTAATAAACTTTTTGTGATAAACTACTTCTTGGGTAGGATTAACTTTCTGTAGCTGGTTAATGTGTGTTGATTGCAGTAAAACAAACTAAAAAGTTAATTCAGCAGTTTGCTAATCATCTGATATATCAAGTCTACATAGCCTCTAAAATATTTTTACCACAACGAATTAAATCCCAAACTGTTTAAATAAATATATATTCATCTGTATTGATGTGCTGGTTGGTGCTTTGTTGTCCTGACAGATGACTATTCCTTCAAGAGTGAAGTTTAAAAATTTGTGAAACTGGAGCTGAAAAGGTAGCATTAAAATTCTGATGGGTGACGCTAGATGCAGAAAGACGATAAGGTTGGATAATGGGAAAGAATTTTCATTGTATTGATTCCCAGCAGAATAACAGGCCTCTGTGACTGTCAGTCAGTGACAGCTTGTGATAGGAAAACCTCCTCCTCCTTTTCAAAACTTGACAAAACAGACTTCACTATATGCATGTCATAATAACACAAATTTTGGCTTAATGATACTTTTTTAGATCATAAGAACTTAACTGCTTTTACATTGCTTGTGTTGCCTTATCCATTTATTTAAAGGTAGCTCCTTATGTTGTCAGGTACGTTTTCCTCACCGTCGGCCTTTGTTTCTTTTCTTCCTCCACACCTTGCTGTTAAATGTCTGTTGATGTATAACTTGAAGTTACAGCAACATTTATTTATGTTTAACAATTAGAAATTTCCTGTATTTGTATTCCTCTTTTTATGCAGCACTGTACTTTCGCTTTTGGTTTTCCCTTTTTCCCATCTTTCAACATGCTTATGGCTTCTGCTTAGTGGTTATTTTCGAGAACCAGGTAACAATTATAGTCATGATGCTATTTTTGACCTTCCCATAAGGCACAGTTAACACAGTACTTTTACTTCATTACAATAGATAAAATCATGGGGACAGACAGCAAGACAGAGAGGAAGTAGCTTTTTTTCCGGTTTAACACTGAGCAATAGTTACTCCCTCTGTTATCACATGTTTTAGATAAAGGAAGGACACTCAGAGGCTACCCTGCTGCTATTCCCGTTTGCAACCCGCGCAGGGTGCGGCGTTATACAGCAGAATCTTCCATGTTTATTATTAATAGAATTGACTACTGCAACAGTGTCCTAACATGTCTACCTAAGAAATCGATCAGACAGCTGCATTGGGTCCAGAAGGGAGGTGCTTGCGTCCTCAACACAATTAAGTGGAGCACATGTTATTTTTAATTACACTGGTTTCATGCAGGGGCTGCTCAGTGGAGCAGTGGGTAGCGCTGCTGCCTCGCAACAAGAAGGTTCTGGGTTTGATTCCCAGCCCAGGGTCTTTCTGCATGGAGTTTGAATGTTCTCCCTCAGCCTGTGTGGGTTCTCTGGCTTCCTGCCACAGTCCAAAAACCCAGAGTGTTAGGTTATTTGGCCTCTCTAAAATCTCCTTAGGTGTGAGTGTGTGCATGAATGGTTATTTGTCCTCTTTCTTTGAAACATTAGCCCTTTTCAAATTTCTGGTTAGAAGGTGATAGACGATTAGATCATAGCGCGGCGCCGAGGTCTGGTCGGATTCCAAGACTCCTCGTTATGCGGCCTTAAAATGCGTCCTTTTGGCCCGATTTGAAGGACGGGTCCGATGTATCCTCATTATCCTTGGTTTTCCCAGGATTCAACGCGAGACAAAGCAAGACGGCTGCTCCGTGATCAGAGGAAAGGTTACTTGGCGCCGAACAGTGGTGAAAATTGGAAGTGCAGTTTAATATAATACAAGTCTGTGGATAGTTCCGTATGAAATGAATGAAAATAGTTGTTTTAATGGTTATTGAGTCAGATATGTGGCGGTAATGTTTGATTTATCTAAAAGGTTTTATCTGTTACTGTGTAAATGGGTTTGGCTGTAATTTAAGGACAGATTATAATATATCTGCAGTGTGGGGAATATAAATCTGATAGGATTTAAATTTTTTAAATGCTGTTTTGCACAATATACTTAACTAAGAATTTTTTGTTGTTGAATATTAAAGATTTTGCAGATATATTCTTTATACATACATTGTTTAGATATACTTAGATATTTCTACCCCTTTTATAGAATAGAAAATCCCTTTATTGTCCCACAATGGGCAAATTTACAGCAGTAGAAAGATTAATGAAAATGGTCACACAAATGTGGACCTTAGAAAAATGTATAAGAATAACATAATAGGGAAGAGTTAAAATATAAACAATAAAATACTGTAAAGTGTTTTAACAATATAAAACTGCACCTGGAAAATAAATAACCAATATCCAGCTATGGACATTTTTACAGTAATGGATATTTGAAAAAAGCAGCAACATCAGAGATATGCAAAATGACAGCAGCATGTTATTTAACTGACTAAGGTTTCTATCATTACATTTGATTTTATTTGTTCATTGTCCCTGTGGTTGGCAACTTTATTCCACTCAGTAAAAAAGGAATAAAGTTTTTAAAACTTCGGTATTCATTCTTTTCCTGCTTTGTGAGTCAACTGTCGTGGTTGCTAAGCAACATAGCCTACGGCGGTAAAACCTGCCAAAGAGTAGACCTGTTTGAATTCACAGCCAAAACACTTCCGGTCTCCTTATTTTCACGGACTTCGAAGGCTCCAGTCAAGGTAGACCGCGTCCTTGGAGGATGCAGCCCATGAATTCGAACAGAGCCATTGCTAGCTGATAGTGTTAATTTTTCTAGATATTGGCTACATTCCCTAATTCATTAGTCTATTGAGCAGTCATCCCTTGAGATCACAAAGCTGATGCATTGCCACTCCCTGCAATTGCTATCCATTCTTAATGTTTGATTCGCTAATAAATAATTATCATTTGTTTGACATTTGTGGAACATTTGATTTTATCGTGTCATTAGCCTTTGAATGGAGGGAAGAGAAAGAAAAAAAAAACAGCAGCCCACATAAGGGGTCGGTTAGACTGATGTAAAAATAATCTGTAAAACTGCATTGCTTGATCTCTAGTAAAGAGCAGACAAAGGGGACTATTCTGAAAAAATGAATAAATTTCTACGATTTACAGAAAGTGAGAATTTAGGGCCATCTAAGATTGTCTTAACAGTTGGCCAAGACAGATGGTGTGGACAGGGGAAAGATTAGGAGCTTGAATAAACACAACAAGTTAGAAATATTTTATTTTGAAATGACGGCAGACATCCTGAAGATGCTAAAAGGCAAGTTGAGGGCAGTTTCAAACTAGCACTCTAACAGGAACTTCAAGTCAGTGGGTTGATGGTGATTCAGCCATGGTAAGTGGATATCCTTCAGGTTCACTGGAAGTAATGATTGGATGAGATCCAACCTTGTAAAGTAGTTGTTCTGACTAGTTATTACACTCCATACTTCTGCTTCAGCTGTTCCACCAGCTTGATGTATTCATTCATCGAATCCTCTTTGCTTTTGCCTGACAGAAAATAGAAAAACATTTCAGGTGAGACAAACAAGGTTAGTGGTCCTTGTGCCTCCAATTTTGCAACTAATTGGGTATAAAGACATAATACTGCTGCTGTTATATTTACTCCCAAAGGACCCCAAAATGTTTTCTTTAAAATCGACACATTTGTCTGGAATAGCACAGAGCCCAAACAAGCAACTTGACCCATTCAACCAGATAAACCCAAAAGCTTTAAGGGAAAAAAAGACATTATTCAGCAATTTAGTGAATAACAGACTAATTTTAGTTTGGTGCCAAATTTAAGCCCATTTCTATTCCAGATGTTTCTTAGGAGATTATTTGCAGATTTAGAGACATAACACACTGATCTAACATACCTTTCTGCTTTTCCCAGGCATCCCACTTAGCTTTTCCAGTAAAGTCAAGCATTCCAGGACGAGCTTCAGTTAAAAAGAGACACACAGGAAAGGTGATTTGTACTGCTTTTAAGCTTACAATGATATATATGGTTTAGCTAAACTCTTCTTCAAATTCAGCTTTGACTGTAAAATGAAAAACATTACTTTCTGCAACAAACTGCTTTAACTATTCTATGCTTCTCTTTTTTTGAATTCAGATTATGATCTGGATCAAAATTTAATGGATTGTTCCTTTGCAATCCATCCATAATTTTTCAAGTATGCTCTACACAGACAAACACGCGTACAAACTCTAGAAACATAACCTCCTTGGTAAAGGTATGTGAAGGTAAAGATGGATGCTTGAGTATCTCACCTGTGTTAACGTCACCCACAGTAGCCTGCTTAAACAGGGAGTAGAGTTGCAGCATCTCCTCATCAGATGGTTTCGCTTTAAGCTGCTTTACTTCAGCTGCTGCAGCATCAAATTTTACCTACAAATAAGAGGAGAAAGTCTTTTAAACACCAGAAAGATGAAAGTCTCTGATGTAGAAAGATATCTAACATGTTGGTGTAAAAATATAGTTAAATCACACATTTGTCATACGAAAACCAAACAGCGAAAGCAGAGAGAACTACTTGCAATGCATAAGGTATTATACAGATTAACTTTCCACCCTATTCTTTTTTCTTGCCTAAATACTTTATGAAACAACTGCAAATGGAAAAGACTTTTTCTGAAATGAAAAAAGCAAATACTTAAAGTTTAAAACATTACAGCTAACTTAAAGAGTGTGGATGTTTTTTTTAACACTACTGTACTCACTGTTATGTTGGAGAGTAATATATTTTGGTCTTTGAAAAACAGACCTACAGAAATAAAATATGACCCCAATTACAGTTCTTGTAAACCCATTTAGATAAAACATAAGATAATAAAAATGAGGAAATAATGTAGATTGTAAAAATCTGTACAAGAAACAAAGTAAAAAGGATTTGACTTCATTATTATTCATTCCAGACGGGAGGAAGATGTACATTTTATATGCAATTCATTTTAAAATATTGGCTAAATACATGATACAAATAGATTTTAAGGAAATGTTTTCCATGACTTTAATATGATTCTCTTTACAATAAACAGCAGCAAATGACAAAACATTACCCCTGAATGGGGATACTGTAGAGCGGATTCATTTACAGCTTGCTCCAGTACCTTTTGATACAGTACAAGACTGCCCCCTGCTGGATAAACATGGAAAGAATAAAGACTCAATAACAGGTTTAATGCTACTACTTGACAGAGTAATTTAAAAAAGACAGTCCTGCATCTGAACTTTAAAAAGAAGACAAATATCAAACACAAAATGTTAGGGGGAGTGGGGGGCAGATGAAAAAGCACGCATATATATATATATATATATATATATATATATATATATATATATATATATATATATATATATATATATATATATATATATATATATATATCAAAATTAGGTGTCTTTTATATAGTTTGACGCTGACAGCAGTGGCGTGCCCAGACACTTTTGTTAAATATATAGCTATTTACGGCAAAGGTTGGAGACAAAGAGAGCTTTTAATTATAAAGGTTAGCTGTTTTATGAAGGGCAACATAAATCTGACTAAAACCTTTTTGAGTTTTAGTCAACTAAAACTATCACATATAGTAATGTCTAAAATGTGACTAAGACTAACAACAGTTTTCTTCCTGAAGACGAAAACTGAGACTAAATCTAAGATGACTGTCGAAAACAGCACTCCTGCTTCCAAGAAAGAGAAAGCCAAACATTTATGAAGTGAAGACAACATCTATGCCTGAAGTACAGAGACACTACGGAAGAGGATTAGGGCCACTGAAAAAAAAAAAAAAGTTAACTGATTTTTAAATTTTATTTCAGTTTAACATGGGAAAAAAGTCAGAATTCTGACTTTTTTCTCTTGATTCTGACTTTAATCTCAGAATTTTGGATCTTAATGTAGATGGGCACCATGAAGGAAGAGATGTGGGAGCACTCAGCTTCACTGACAAAGATGTGAGTTTTTTGAGAGGGCCAGTGACACATTGGTGGAAAATGACGGAATTAGGCAACTTTTTAAGTGCCCGAGGGGTCCCCTCATTAATGGAGGAGCAGAAGGTCATTAAAACAAGAGAGCTAGTCTCTAAAACAGACATGGCTATGGCTTGATGCTAACATATTGTTATCTGTCAGAATTCTGCGAAAAAAAAGTCAGGATTCTGCGAAAAAAAAAGTCAGGATTCTGCGAGAAAAAAAGTCAGGATTCTGCGAGAAAAAAAGTCAGGATTCTGCGAGAAAAAAAGTCAGGATTCTGCGAAAAAAAAAAAGTCAGGATTCTGCGAAAAAAAGTCAGGATCCTGGGAAAAAAAGTCAGAATTCTGAAAAAAAAAGTCAGAATTCAAGTTCAAGAAAAATTATTGAAAATTTGGTTTAGATTACTAGAAAAACAAACAAAAAAAAACAGCTTACAACTACAGGACCACGAGCGGACTAGCAAGTTCTTAAATTAAGGAAAATGTTCATTAAAAAAAGAATAAGATATTTTTGACAATTCACTGATAGAATAAAAAATTTAGGGGGCAAATTCAATACAGGGTTTGTTTCTGACTGACACACTAAACTGTGTTTAAAAACATATCTGTCAACACGATGCATCTGCTAAAAAAATATTCATCTTTTGCAGTTAAACATTAAAATTATCAAGAATTTTGGAGCAGCCTAAAAGAATTACAAATATTTAAACGGTTGCGTTTTTGTTTTTATTTTCTCATTGTGTCATCCTTTTCTTCTCAGTTATCCCTGTAATTAACTGAATTAAATTTCATTTCAAATTGACTCTTAGTTTATTTACTGTTTTTACTGTACTTTTTGTTTTAAAAATATCTTTTAAAATCATAGTCCTCAAACACCCTCATTCACATTTTCCCCTAAATTATCACAATATGAAATACATTCACATTATTTTTGGCTGCATCTAAAATGATCAAAGATGTTTTCAATTCAAACATAAGTATGAAATGATGTTACGGCTACTCTTGCATCAAAATGGTTTCCAATAAAAAAGAAAAATCAAAAATTGCCAGAGTAGTCTTAGAAAAAGGTTTTTTGACTCACAAAACAAAAAGCACTCATGGAGAATTTTCCTGTTTCAAAAGGGCGTGTTTTCTTTACTTATAAAAATAACAGAAATATTCTCCGAGTTGACTTACAAAAAAATTCAAGTACAAACGTTAAGTGGTGTGTGTGAAAAAACTTAATTCTTTCACACAAACAGATCCACCTCAGCAGCTACTTCTACTTGTTAATCTCAGCAGGAGGCAGACTGACAAGGAGGAGGGTCTAAGCAAAACCAATACATAAACAAATAAACAATAGCTCTACCATTCACACAGCCTTAGATCTGTAACATTAATAATTAAGAAAAATAAATAAATAAATCTAATTCTTAATAGGCTCCAACAACAATATAACCTCCAATAATTTAAATTTTAGAATTGTACTGGGTCATCAAATTAATTGAGTTTAGTCTGTCAAATCAGCTGCCTGTAGTGTCTTTAAAGAACCAGCAGGTGTCAGTATTCTGTGAGCCATCATGAACGCAGTATAGCTACAGTTTGGCAATGTGTCGAAACACTTCAAAATGCCTCATCACTATATAAAAGTAAAAAAAAAAACACAAATTGTTTTTAGTTTAATCTCTCATCTCAAACAGTTCAAGTTGAGCATTAAACTAAGGAGAGCTGTGTTTGTTAAATGGAGCAGAATAACCCTTCAGGGCGAATCGGACGCTGCCTTCAATCCTGTGACAGGCGGATATAATACTTCCGGTTCGGACCGCAGGTGGACGGACATGATGGACATGTGTTCGATCTACGATGAGCACCCTTCTTATTTGTAATCATTAGTTGAGGGCGGCTGCTGACGATTCAAAGCGCACTTTTCACTCTCTTCCGGCTGTTTGTCACCATGACAACAGAGCAGATAGCGGATGGTTGTATAACGCACGCCCTTTGTAACGACAGGTGCAAACTGAAGTAGGCATCAAACAGAGTTTACATTACTGTGCTACAAATGCTACAAAAAAGGCGCTTTCAATGTCCAGCTGACATTCAGCTTTTCATTTCCTAAACTTTACGATCCCATTAATTTTCTGGAAAAGGATTTCATTGCGGGGAGGCTAAGTTACCCCACACCCCTTACGCTTGGCTTAGTAGAGGAGCCTTCCCTGTTCCAGCCTTATTTGGTTAAACTCACCTGTAAATCTGCCATCTTCAGTGAAGGGAGCAAGTTTGAGCAAACTGACGACGTGTAAATGATTGAAAATAGGCGGAAGCCCAGCGTCCCTTCCTTTATTCATCTAATAACGGGGGCTAAAGTCCAGACACGCCTTCCGCGCGTTTTTTTACAACGCAACTTTATTGCTAAAATTGTTGTTTACAAAAACACAAGTAACACCGAAGACCCCAGCTTAAGCAGACAAGGGCCCTGTGCTGCGTCCTCCAAGGACGCGGTCTACCTTGACTGGATCCTTCGAAGTCCTTGAAAATAGGGAGACCGGAAGAGTTTTGGCTGTGAATTCAGACAGGTCAACCCCTCAGCGAGTTTTACCGCCGTAGGCTATGTTGTTTAGCAACCGTGACAGTTAGACACAAAGCAGGAAAAGAATGAATACCGAAGTTTTAAAAACTTTATTTATTTTTTACTGAGTGGAATAAAGTTGCCAACCACAGGGACAATTAACAAATAAATTCAAATGTAATTATAGAAACCTTAGTCAGTTAAATAACATGCTGCTGCCATTACGCACATCTCTAATGTTGCTGCTATTTTCAAATATCCATTACTGTACAAATGTCTATAGCTGTATATTGGTTATTTATTCTCCAGGTACACAGTTTAAATCGTTAAAACACTTTATAGTATTTTATTGTTTATATTCTAACTCTTCTCTATTATGTTATTCTTACTGTACACATATTTCTAAGGTCCACATTTGTGTGACCATTTTCAATAATCTTTCTGCTGCTGTAAATTTGCCCATTGTGGGACAATAAAGGGATTTTCTATTCTATAAAAGGGGTAGAAATATATAAGTAAATCTAAACAATGTATGTATAAAGAATATATCCGCAAAATCTCTAATATTCAACAACAAAATATTCTTAGTTAAGCATATTGTGCAAAACAGCAATGAAAAAATTAAAATCCTATCAGATTCATACAGTAGTTCCCACACTGCATATATTTGATTTTGTCCTTAAATTATCATTTACACAGTAACAGATAAAACCTTTAGATAAACCAAACATTACCGTCACATATCTGCCTCAATAACCATTAAAACAACTATTTTCATTCATTTCAGACGGAACTATTCACAGACTTGGATCATATTAAACTGAACTTTCACCACTGTTCGGCGCCAAGTAACCTTTCCTCTGATAACGGAGCAGCTGGCTGGATATGAAAGGATATGAGGATTATGAAACCCTCTCTGTATTTCTTTTTTCTTTGAGCTTCTCTTACTGACCTCTGGACTATAGTTACAGCATGAATCAAAATCTTTCTATTATTCACCACCCTGGCTGACTTGATTTGTCCAATTTCCTTAACTGCTCTGGTTAATTTAATCGGATGGAAATTTCCTCCTTGTTTTAACTCAACTGCCACTTTTCAATCCCCTTCCCCATTTGCTTGTACTTCCTGTTTTTGGACTTGCATTTTTTTTCCTTTACTCTTGCCTCATGCCCGTCCTACCAACGTCTAGCTCTTTCCTATCTTGACCTCCTTTCTCTTCTTCTTCTTGAAGATCTAGACATCAGTCATTCCATTTCCTTTCCACTTTTTCCATCTGAAGTGGAAGCCATAACGCTGCATTCAGAGTACAGCTTGCAATCCGCCAAAAGTGATCACATTCTGACTCCTTCAGGTTACTCCTCTATTCCAAACACTGCTTGGGTCCCAGGCCCTGACCTTCAAATACTTCCATTTGTCAGGCAGGTCCTTTTTAAATGATTTCTTGATTAAGAACAGGTGGCAGGAATCAAGCCTAGGTGTGGTGAACTCAAGTGTAATAACTATGTTCTAACTGTGAGGGGGGGGACAGTTTTTTTACACATGTAAGTTTGCATTTTTTTTCTCCCTTCAAACTGTTTTTTTTTTTTTTACATGAAACACTGAGAACAGACTGTGCTCGATTGTGTCCAAATCCCAAAAGTGGTAAAGAGACCTGGTTTTATGAGTAAATCTACTGAATATAATGGTATTTTAGATACAGGTGATACTGTATTCATGAGATTTGGAATCTAATAAGTCTCCCCTTATTTGTAGTCTTGAAAATGATGGCAGTGAGACCATATTTTCGTGGAGTTTATGGTCTTTAACAAATCTTATGTTTAGAAAAATTTACAGAAAATCCAAGAAATTAGTAAAAATATATGATATAATGTACCATTGTAATATTGATGCTGAAGATGTGTGTTGATTTTTTCTCTCTAACTTTCTTTGTTTTCTTTTGTTTACTTTTCCTGTCATGTTCTGTTCCTCCTCATATCATGCAATGTTTTATCACCTTGTCTAAAGAATTATAAAACATAAAAAAAATGGTTTGCACATCATAAAATTGTTTTATTTCAGTACAGGAAAAATAGCTCGCATGCACACCCTCCGCCACACCGTTAGATGGCGACACTACCGAGTCAAATCCACTGCTGCACACTGTTTCATTTGATCGATTTGTCAGGTCTGAAATATTTTTGACAGTTCTATTTTTTCTGCTTTTCACACAGGCAGGGGCTCGTTCTTACATTTTTAAGCTCATGTGCTCTTCTGAACAGACGGTTGTTAAATACTATCTTGTCGGAGGGGCATGGAGGTCCCAGCTGTAGTCACAGTTCGCCTCATCAGGTCGTTTGAACAAAGAAACTTCAAGCCTGTAGTTTTCCAGCAGGTCAGCCTGGAGCAGACCGTCCAGGACTTCATGCGCTGTGTGAGAACCGGTAGGTCTGTGCGGAGGAGGAACCCTGACAATAAATACATCATCCTCACGCGACAAAAACAGGTTTAAGTCCAAAACATTTTTGGCAGTCAATAATTTTATACAGGTTTAACTAATCATCAACTAATCATTTAAAATCAATTTTGTTAAAATCATCAGTGTTGTATAAAGTACTGAAATCTCGGAGTCAAGTAAAAGTATAAGTACCTCTCCAAAATATGACTTTGGTAAAAGTCCAAGTCACTGAATGAAATGTTACTTGAGTAAAAGTCTTAAAGTATCTGAAATGGCTTGTACTTATAAGAATTACTGTAATAATAGAAGTACACAAGTAATGTAGTGAAAAGTACAAGTAAAAAGTAAGTGCAGTTTGAATTACATTTTTTTACATTTTTGTAAACTTTGAAGGTTAAATTCACTTCAAATAATATACACAACTAAGTGTAGGATAAATATAGATCAAGTTTTATTATTTCTACTGTAATTGACATCATATCAAGAAAAAGAAAACAAAAACGTGAGCTTATCTGGCATTCTAGTGATTTGTAAACGAGGCCAACATGAAGAATAAAAAAAGCTGTAAATGACTGTACTTCACAAACAAAAGGCGCACACATAACAGGTCATTTTACAAAAGAAAAATAAATGGGAGGGAACTGCAGTTTATTTGGCATCTGAAGAGGAATACATTTTTTGTAAACTAACGTAAAAAAAAAAAAGGCAGTGCTGAAATTAAGTGTACATCACACCAGAGAAAAAAAGATGCACTTCAGGCAAATTAACTAAATCTTAAATACTTTGTAAACACAAGCCCCTCATCCCCTCCACACTTTTGCCCTTGACTTTTTTCTTCCCCTCCAAATCTTAACCACCCCTTGTGGTCATCCTTGCACAAAACCCCATTATCACTTAAAACTGCAAAATCTTCTGTTCATCTTCAAAAGCCTGCAACAGTCAACATTTAGCTTAAGCTAAATGCACCACGTGTGGAACTGAAAACAATTCCAAACAAAGTTCATTTATACAGATAATGTTATGCTCAAGATTTCACAATAGTGCCCAGTGACCAATCTATATCCTATTGGTGTTGATGAATAAGCACAGGCAAGACCCGACTTTGCAGTCAGTAGGTGGGGTCAAAACACTTCCGTTTCTCTCGCTCTCTCGCTCGTGTTTTTTTTTTGTTTTTTTACTTAGTAACTAAACCAAACATTGAAAATGTATCGTAAAAGTATGCAGTTAAGTTTGTGAATGTACTGAAGTAAAAGTGAAAGTTTTCAAAAAAATGTATACTCTTGGAAAGGATTAAGTACTCCAAAATATACTTAAGTACAGTAGTGAAGTATTTTTACTTGGTTACTATAAAACACTAAAAATCAAGTCCCCGTTCTCAGGGCCGGTAAACCCTCTGTAAAGTAAAACTTGTAATAAAACTGATAAATCCAGACTGCCCTTAAGGAATGCAGTGGTTTAAAAGATATAAGCTAATACATTGTGCTGATGTTTGGACTGATTTGGGGGGGAAAATGTCCTGAAATTACCATTTCTTCCAGATATTGCCACAAGACCAGGACTTCCTCCTCCTTTCAGAAACTATGGATATGGTATGTTTGTTTTTTTGTTTTTTTGACTCTGTTGAAACTATGTGTCATTGACAGTAGGGGTTCTATTTTGAAATTTCTTAGTTACATTTTCCTTTAGTTTGTTGAAGTTCTACAGCCACATGTACTTGGAAACTTGTTTCCAGAAACTCTCATGTTGTACAGGTTGGGTCTCTTTTGTTGTTATGATTGCCTTTGAAACATAAAACATACATTACAAGTTCTCTGAACAGTTGGTCTGGGTTAGGTTTAGATATGAAATAAAAGTAAAGATTAAGCTTTTTTGAATTTTGAGATCTAAGCTGAATTTGGTATGCTGTTAGCTGGCATATACTAATATTTTACTAATCAATTTAAGTTTCATTTATATATATTTTTTTACTCTTTTGTGTACTGAACTTAGAGCAAAATATTTTCAGGGACCGCACACTACTTAGTATCCCACACATTAAAGTAAAATCACCACATTTAGAACCAGAATGATCATTCAACTATCATAGAATCGGGTTAGTGATTCACTGACAAGTCAGTGACTGTTTTTAGATGTATTAATATCTACAGCTGTCATTTAAAGAACCACTTTAACTTGGGGCAACTGCCTAGTATTGCCTAATGGTAAATCCCCCCCGTACTCTCTCACACACACACACACACACACACACACACACACACACACACACACACACACACACACAGAACCAGTTTTGATAGTGTTTACATTATTCTCTTTGAGGGCCTGTTTTACATGCTCTCAGATATAAAAATGACTCCATATAATTCTTCTCTTTTATATTTTCAGACACCATGAAGATAATTCACCAAGCTCATGGAGCAAAGGTATCTGTCTAATCAAACTCATGAAAGTTTTCTGGTTAGGATGCATCCAGAGATGTCTTCCTGTGAAATGGGTTGTTTATTTGAAAGGATGTGTTTCAATTCAAAAATACTTTATTAATCCCAAACGGAAAATAAATAAGAGACAATCTTATGTTTTGACAGGTTTTATTGATACATATCTGTTTATCCAAGAAATGTTTAGAGGCTTGAGTTATAAAATGCTTCTCTTGACATTGCAATGCTTTAAATGGCATTTCCACTGTCATCTGTTGGACGTGGTTTGATAGGGACTGGCAATCTACAAAAATTCTTATCTTTCACACAATACTGCTGAAAGCAGACCAAACCTAGTAAACAAATAAATAACAGATACAACTGTTGATTTTTATTTAGTTTAATGTGCAGCAAACCATCCAACATGTTTCTCTGAATGTAGCACCAGAGAAAAAAATCAAATGGCTTTGAGTTGTGTTGTCTGATCTTGAACACGAGATCTGATGGAAGTGTAGCCCTCAAAATTATGTAATAGTTCTCATCCTCTCTGCTTCTGTCTCCTTGAACCCCATTCGGCCTCAGCAGATGGCCGCTCACACGGAGCCTGGTTCTGCTGGAGGTTTCTTCCTGTTAAAAGGGAGTTTTTTCCTCTCCACTGTCGCTACAAGCATTTTTAGTGTGAGGGATTGTATTTGAGTCAATGCAATCAACTGTTTTTTTTTTTTTCAGATAGAAAACTTTGAATCAATTTGACTGTATGATCTGGTTGAACTGTAAAGTGCCTTGAGATGACTTGTGTTGTGAATTGGCGCTATAGAAATAAACTCAATTGAATTGAATTGAATTCATGGGAGAGCACCGAAATAGTTATGACACTTTTATACAATGTAAGCAGCCAGTGTACAGTTTGCATAAGTATCTAAATTTGTTGACTACTCAAAATAACCCAACACAGAGCTGTAAAATTCAGAAACTCTGGCAACTTTTGTTGTCAGGTTCAGGTTCACCCTGCAGTAAAAATCAGGGAAAGGAACTCTCTGCCTACAAATCATTACTAGGGATGCATTGATCTGATACATGGATCAGATATTGGCTCCAATATAGATTAATTTGCTGAATATCTAACCCAGTACACATGGAAGTGTTAACTCTTTGTTTTTGTTGCTTATTTGTTAATAATTAATATACACCATGCAGTTAAATGCATTTATGGCTGTGGTTTATGTCAAAGCTAAAGCCTTCTTTCTCATAACAAGAAATATGATTCGTTCATTTAATATTTGAATTGCATCGGTATCAGATCTCAGCCGATACACTCAGCTCAGGTATCTGTATCGGATCGGATTGGATCGGAAAAAAACTGGATCGGTGCATCTTTAAACATTAGAGAACTACCTCACATCTGACAGCAACTTGGTCCTAATTTTGATGGTTGATAATATTACCCCAACTCTGAGCGGATAGTCAAAATAAGCAGTCTTCCTATTTGTCAGTTTGGTGATATGTTGCATAAAACCAACCTACGTGCTCGTCCCCATTTTCACTTACCAGTGGTGAGTCTAACATAGTGGAACAATAGCTAATCTTCCTTTGGAAAGTTGGTTTGTACGAGTGATGCAGACAGCATCTTTATAAACAGAGCCTGCAGAATTTGGCTCATGCATGCTCCTGCACGCTGTTAATAGGCGCTTGGGAGCGGGTACAGGGTTCTGCGTATGCATTTTTTTTTTTTAAAGTGGAGAGGGCGGGTCTTTTCAAAAATTTGCGAAAATCCTCCACTATACCTTTAAAGACTATTGTGAGGAAGTTGCAGGCAGCAAGACGTTTATCACTGTGTCCCTCTGTCCACATGTGAACCTACTCTCCTGCTTTGAAGAGCAAAGGGAGCCAATTGTCACTCTTACTTAATATTGATTGAAAGGAACCTTGAAAATAATAATAAAGAGGCCCCTAGTTATATCTCTTACTTCTTGACATTGTTATAAATTCATCTGAAATTGGCAGTTTTTGGTAGTGGGACAGTTTTTTCCCCAATGTTTCAAAAATCATTCAGCTGCAGCATAATGGCAGCTCACTTAAAACAGGTCTTTTCATGTTCACCCCAAAACTCAGTAAATATTTGTATTTGCAACCTAATTGCAATTTTACCAAATGCAGTTTTCAAACTGCAGAGGCACTCAACTTTGGTCACATTCAAACAGGTCCTTTGAATAGTAATAATGCACTTATTTGCCACCACAGAGGGGAAAGAGAGTTACAGCTATGCATGTGAGTTAAATTCCTGCCCGGAGTACTCCGGAGATCAAGTTTTTAAGGCCCTGGAACCCATAAATCTCAGATCAATTGAATTAATAATGTAGGTAGAGAGATATTGATCAGAGAAGAAGCACATAATGGAAATGCTTATATCCAGCATGATTTTCCATCTGCTCACAATGCCAAAATTAGTAGAAATTTGCTTTCTGTTGGTTTAGCTTCATTAGCCAGGTAACTTCTTAATAAGGCCTGGATTGTGGTGGTCTTTTACTGTGCCTGTTATAAATGTAAACAATAAAGAGAAAAAGATATGCTAGCCAGCTAGCTTAAACCATGTGTATAAATACACTCTGCCTGCAGAATGTAGAAGCTAAGGAGATTATGAGTTGTGTTGCGCTCAATTTGAACAAAATATGCATTTTAAGGCATAAAGAGACATTCTGCCACCATCTAATTTAGCGTTATGGGGTTGTGGTGATAATATACCACTATACTCTTCTGATGAGAGGGCCTGCAGATGGTTTGCAGAAGAGAAGTGTACTAAGAAGATGAATAAAATATTCTCATATGATCTGTGGAGACCAAGATAGAGCTGTTTTGGTTTCAAAGGTGTTAAGCAATTGTGGAACCATTTAGTGTGTCTCTGCTCTGCCTTCTCAAAGTCTAAGTTAGTTGTGGCTTAAGGCCATTGAGCCTGGTTCTGTAGAAAGTTTCTGTCTGTTAAATATTTTCCCTTCTGTTGTAGCCAGATGTTTGCTCAGATGTGGGATTGCTGCAAAGTCAATGGCAGTGCAAGCAACTGTACACTGCTGTTACATGTGGGGGGAATTCTGCATGTCAACGGAGTGCAGTCTGTATGGTTTTGATGAAAAACTTAATGAATCTGTGTGTATGATGGATTGAAATGACTCTGAAATGTGCTATTGAATGTAAGAACCAACTCAGCATATGAATAAACTGAATTGAGGGGATTTGGTGGGGGTCAAAGAAGAGACTCTCTTGCCTACATTCAAGTATGGAGGTGGGAATATTATGGTTTCAGGCTACACTTGGCCCACTGACTGCGGGGGGGCTACAATTTGAAAAAACATGGATGCCAAGGTGTACGCAGACATTTTTGATTTATGCTCAATATTGAAGCGTGGTTTATGCTATACGTGTGGGTCTAGATACGGCTGAGGCGAAGAGGAAGTGGAGGCGAGTTTAGTCCGACAACGGAGGGACATGACGGCGAAAAACGGGATCCAAGTGGAAAAAGGGTCCCAGCGTTCTCGTGCACCTCGATCTTCTAGCTGGTCAAACGTCATGAGTTGTTTTCCGCAATTTCGGTCATAAAAACTAAACAAGCCGGCCTCCTGTCTGCGGCACTGTCTGCGGTCAGTTACAGTTTGGGAGAGGTGCAGCAGAGATTCTGCGGAGGGGGCGGGGCTGGCTTTTCGTTCACTGCGACACCTATGCAGAGGACCTGGTTTTGAAGTATAAATCGGCCTTAATGCTACGTTCCCACCAAACGTGATTCGAGCAGCAGCTTTACGTGCAAAGTCTATGGTTGATGCACATCAAGGCACAACTCATCTCGAGCAGCAGGAGCAGCGCATGTTTAAGCCTCTGAGCAGCTGCAGCAGAGTCTTGTGAGATTCTGAGCATCGGAGGCGAGTGACATGCTTCAAGAGCAGCAGGTGCAGGACTTAGAAAATTTAAACTTGGGTTGCCCGACGTCCCACATCAAGCACCTGATCTGGGAGCTTGCAGGGAGATAGGGCTGGGTAGTGAACATCTTTTCTTTTATAGTACCAACCGAAATGCTTCGGTTTTACAGAGTATCGAAACATGCCTCGTCTCGGTGCCAAGTTTCGATGATTGGCTGTAACACTTAACGTGATTGCGTCATCCAGAAAAAATACATAGGTGGTCACGCCTACATCCAGGCTTCATGTGTATCTGTTGTGAACTGGTTACGAGCGTCGTGGAACCCCTTTAAAATGCCCCGCAGGTCAAAAGTGTGGCTTCACTTTATTAAGACTGATGCCAATAGTGCGCAATGAAAAACATAGTGCACGGAAACAATTTAAGAGCAGAAAGTTGCTCGGTGTTTGACTGCAAGAAGAGCGGACTGCAGCTGGCGCAACCATCCTTCTCTCAGCAGCCCGTGGGCAGTGCAAATCCAGAGCGGAGTGAATCATGCTGCTTTCACACCGGATGCAGCAAGAGCAGCAAAATTGCGTCTGCCGCTTCCTTTTTGCTGCTTGTACCAGTTTCAGAGCCACTTTTCGACCGCGCAGCCAGAGCAGCAAAGCTGCTCCAGTCGCGCGGTCGAAAAGTGGCTCTGACGCGCATTGGGCGGAGCTACTCTTTCCTTTATTTGCCTTGCAGCTATATTTGCTATGATCAGTGGGAATAAAGTAGTTTTATTATGTTTTTAAGTGAGAAAATCCACCTAAAAACTTAATCAGTGCAGTCAGTTCTTCCAGATTACCATCCTGCCTTCCAATATTATTTCTGTCGGAGCCGCTCAGACCCCCACATACCAGCGGTGCGCTGTCAGTAGGAATCCCATTCTTGGATTCCTGATTTGTCTCCTGAGAAAGCAGACATGTTAATTTTTCTAAAGAAAAACTGCTAAGTAAAAAGGTCCTCACAATGTAACAGTGAATATTAGACACTGACTTATTTGCAACTGTTCTTCTTCACTGAAAAAAATTTAGTTTTTTATGTAATCCTGAGCTATCTCTATAGTTATGCTGCTATAGGCTTAGACTTTTGGAGGACATAGGGACCCCCATTTCATCATTCTGCTTCATTCTCTCTCTGTTCTCCTATTCTGCAGAATCTGTTAGTTCAATCTCTAACCTTCTGCTCTCTCTGCTTTTCCTCAGAGTAGCTTTGCCTCGTCTGTTCCTGTTTGGCTGTGACGTCATCCTGGAAAGAAACATCAGCTGTGCTGCTTCTATCAACACCCTTGTTTATAGATGTTGGAGATCGGCCTGTTTTCCAGTGTGGTCCTGTTTCTCTGACCGTGACTGAGTGGATGTGCTTTCTTCGTCCTCTGGCATGGGAGCTGCCTTGGAGCTCGTCTGCCTGGCTGTGTGTTTCCTGGACGGGGCCGCCTTTTACAGCTGCTTTTTGTATCTCTGCTTCTGTCTCCTTGAACCCCAGTCGGCCTCGGCAGATGGCCGCTCACACTGAGCCTGGTTCTGCTGGAGGTTTCTTCCTGTTAAAAGGGAGTTTTTCCTCTCCACTGTCGCTACAAGCATGCTTAGTGTGGGGGATTGTATTTGAGTCAATGAGTCAATGCAATCAACTGGTTTTCCTTAGATAGAAAACTTTGTATCAATTTGACTGTATGATCTGGTTGAACTGTAAAGTGCCTTGAGATGACATGTGTTGTGAATTTGGCGCTATATAAATAAACTGAATTGAATTGAATTGAATGTAAGAGGAAAAATGTAAATGGAAAAATCAGAGCTTAAAATAAAACTCAAGATTTGTACTTCTTTTTTTTCGAATTGATATTATAAAACTGGTATTGAAAAAAGTATTGTTCAGGAACCGGTATCGAAGTGAAGGTATTGGTATTGGTCCCAGCACAGAAAATTTTTGAACGATACCCAGCCCTACAGGGAGACATACAAACAACTGTTCATGCACTATGATCCTTGCCCTGAAACAGTTTACTGATGCCTAAATAAAATTCAAAATATGTTTGCTTTTATTATTCTGGTGTTTGCAGGTTGTAGCACATACCTGAATAACGCCAGCATTTACTTCCTGATGAAACGACTGTAGGGGGGAAAAAAACTCCATGAGGGGACCCGGTCTGAGGTAGCTGTTGCTAGATTCACAGTGGCAGCGCACCACTGGTATGTGGGGTTCTTTGCAGCTCCGATAGTGAAATAATATTTTAAGGCAGGATCGTAATCTTGATGAACTGGCTGCACAGACAATGTTTTCAGGCCTACCTTCTCACAGCAAACATGGCAAAGCCACTCTCTGACATTGAACACAGGAGCAGCAGCTGTTCACACTTTACTGGGACCTTAATTTGAACAAGCATCAAAAATGAAGCAGCAGACGCTTCTTTGCTGCTCAAACCATGTTTTTTGTGATCGTAGCAAAACCTATGATAGAAGTGCAGTATGATCCCCTCCCTTCAGAAACACCACCAAACATCCCCCCCCAATTCAACCACTCATATGCTGAAGAAACTGAGAGTGAAGATCCTGGACCGGCCAAACATGTCCCCAAGAATCTGAAAATAATTGTCAAACGGTGGAGGAGTGCAAGGTCTTTAAGCATATACTAGCTTCATCGTGTCCTCATGGAGAAGCAGAATAGGTTTTCAGCGGCAACCTATGTAGCTCTATGAACCTACGTTAATCAAAAAGCCAAATGCTGCTTCTCTATGTTTAGATATGGATATGCGCTGTACACTGAGCCAGAAGACCCGAGTGGTTTGAAAGGTTGATGTACTTAAATGTATTTCGGTGGTAATCCATTTAGTGATTCATAATCTTAAAATCTGTTTCAGAGTGGCAGTGGAACACTGGATCAGCTCTATACCCTCAGCAGGATTCTGGAGGGTGCTTGGGAGTTTGCCCAACCAGTCTACATGTGTTTTGTGGACCTGGAGAAGGCATTCGACCGTGTCCCTCAGGGGGTCCTGTGGGGGGTACACTGGGAGTATGGAGCACCGGGCCCTTTAATAGGGGCTGTTAGGTCTCTGTATGACTGGTGTCAGAGCCTGGTCCGCATTGCCGGCAGCCGCCAAGGTTGCCCTTTGTCACAGATTCTGTTCATAACTTTTATGGACAAAATTTCTAGGCACAGCCAAGGTTTTGAGGGGACCTGTTTTGATGGCCTTAGGACTGCATCTCTGTTATTCGCAGATGATGTGGTTCTGTTGGCTTCATGAGGGCGTGATCTACAGCTCTCCCTGGAGTGGTTCACAGCTGAGTGTGAAGCAGCCAGGATGAGGATCACTGCCTCCAAATCCGAAACCGTGGTCTTGAGCCGGAAAAGGGTAGAGTGCCTTCTCCGGGTTGGGAAGGATGTACTGCCCCTAGTGGAGTTTAAGTGTCTTGCGGTCTTGTTCACGAATGAGGGGAAGATGGAGTGGGAGATTGATAGGCGGATTGGTGCGGCGTCTGCTGTGAAGCGGGCCCTGTATCTGTCTGTTGTGGTGAAGAGAGAAATTAGTTAAAAAGCAAAGCTCTCGATTTACCGGTTGATCTACGTTCCTACCCTCAGCTATGGCCATGAGCTTTGGGTCATGACCGAAAGAATGAGATTCCGGATACAAGCAGCTGAAATGTGTTTTCTCTGTTGTGTGTCTGAGCTCACCCTTAGAGATCAGTCATCCGAGGGGGTCTCAGAGTAGAGCCGCTGCTCCTCCACATTGAGAGGAGCAAGTCGAGGTGGCTCGGGCATCTGATTGGGTTGGCTCCTGGGCGTCTCCTTGGTGAGGTGTTCCAGGCACGTCCCACCGGGAGGAGGCCCAGGGAGAGACCCAGGACACGCTGGAGGGACTATGTTTCTCAGCTGGCTTGGGAGCGTGTTGGGATTCCCCCGGAGGAGCTGGCCCAAGTGGCTGGGGAGAGGGACGTCTGGGCCTCCCTACTGAAGCAACTACCCCCGCGACCCGACCCCCGGATAAGCAGAAGAAGATGAATGGATGGATGGATGGATGGAGTATTTTAGAGTCTATTATCTGAGATACAGCGAGATGGTTTTTGGAGTTTAGTCTTAGTCTTAATGTTTGAGATTCTCTGGAATTGCTCTTTTCTCTACTTAATGATATTTCTGTGTCATTCTAGGCTCAATTTTGAATGAAAGCACAAGTAGGGCATAATCCCTTTGAAGAATTAAACATTTATTTTATAAAATGTCAGAATATATGGAAGAGAACAATACAATTAACCAGCAAAAATTGCACTGCTTAATCTCTGCTCAAATATCAAAGATGTTTTTTTTTAATCATGTTTTCAAACATTTTGGTAAAATATAATTTAAATTGTTAAACTGTTTTAATTACTACATCTATTGCTTTTGTCAGATTTAATATTAAAACATTCACTTATGGATGTCTATTTTAAAACTTAAACTAAGTGATCAAGTGTGTCAGCTTATATTATAGATTAATATTCATTTGAATATGTGTATGTTTATTATAGTGTGGCCTTAAGGAAAATGCAGTCTGTCTTTGGTGATTTTGTTTTTGGAAATTGTTATTTATGCCAAATGCTAATGTCCATGTAAGTAAAGCTAATGACTTTGGTGTTTGTGTTAATACTGTGTATTTTTATTGGGGTAAAGTTAAGCAGAGATGGATGCATTGTAAAAGGGAGTTTGGGGATGACTGGTATTCACTGGTGACAAACTAATCGAAGTACAGTACGCCTGTTTTTTTTTTTTTTCTTTTTTTTTATTGCTTAACACATTTTACACTTTAGAACAAGATACTTTCCAAAAAGTTAGGTCTACCAATTATAAGATTCTACACCATTAGATCTAAATATATCCTGTATCGTAAAAAGATATACTCATAAATTATTGCTACTTATTTCTGTTGTTTCAGACAAATGAGTTGGTAATGAGTTTAGACGACGATGAAAAGCTTATATTACAAGATGATCAAACCCTCAAAGCTGCTGGAGTCGGTAAGTATTTGAAATTGATGTGCCTTTTGAATTATCATTGTTTTTTCCTTCTGTCAACACAAATGTTAGTCAGTTCCCTTTTTTAGAAAATGCCAAGCAAAACACCACAATGTTTTGCTCCTCTTTAAGTCATACAGGTGATAGGACAGTGACTAACTTCCAACAAAGTTGGTCATTTTCGAGACACTCCTACTGGAAGTAGGCGAAAATTTAAGAATCTTTTTCCTCATGTCAAAGGTCTCCCATAAATGAAACTGATTCCTAGGTTTGAAATTATTTTACTACAAACAAATAAATACATATTGTTGGAGATGTAAATTAGCTGCTAAAAAAAATAACCTGCTATGGTTTCTGTGGTTAGGCGACTTGACAAAAATATCCAAAAAGCAAAGAATGTCAGTAAAATTTATTTTGGTTTCACAGCATTCAACACCAGAAGCAAAAACCAACAGAAAAAAGAAACTGATCCACAAACGGAGGAACAAAAGTTCTCGAAAAGAATATGAGTCACCTTAAGCAGTGAAATTCTATAATGCCTTTCGTTTAACAATTTAAAAAAGTTTATAAAATTTTCTAACGGCTTAGATTTTTTAAAAATTTTTATAAACTACATAATAGTGACAACAGTTGAAATGCATTTTAGCCTAAAGCAACCCTGCAGTCAAATCAAAAAAACAAAACAGCAGTTTTAACAAACCAAACACTAGATGATGTTGTTGCCACAATCAGTAATTGTCCATCGTTTGGCCTGGACTATAATGTCTGCATTACCTTTCTGAAAAAACAGCAAAGCTGTTGTAGACTGTCGTTGTAGAACCTACTTGCCTGAAAACTATGTACAGCATTGGTACCCCCAAATTGCAATGTGTCCAGCTTCACTCAGCTTCAAACTATGTTACATATATAGACCCATATTAAACATTGTGCGCATTTACAAAGCATCCGCACAATATTACAGGAAGGTAGCAATATAAAGGCCATCTGGCAAAATTCAACTGGATCTAATATTTGTCCTACTCCAAAACCAGACCACATTTAATCAACCGAGTGTGCTAAACCACCAGGAAATTTAATAACTACTTCCATATTTTTAAAAAAGTTCACTAAAGACATACTAGACTTTCCAAAAGACCTTGATATGCTAGTAATATCAAGTGAAGCAGTTTTATCTGCTTTAACTACCCTAGAAACGGTTGTTCTAGTCTGACTTTCGCATTTATCACTGTCATTTATGTGTGATCTTCAAATGCTCCTTGAAGCACCTCTAGAGCACCACAGATGAGCAATGGGAAAGCTAGCAGGCATATATAGCAGTATGCTATATATGAATATTCAGAGGAAACAGAAGAGTTCCTGTCAGATGAATTAATAAAATTAATGCATGAGTTGTACAGTTGTATAATGTATTTGGCACTACTATAGGCTTCTTGAATAATTAATAAAGACAGGTCTGTTTCAGTCTAATCATTAACTTTTCCTTTTCTCTTCAGCTAATGAAACAGAAGTGGGTTTTTTCAGAAAAGATGATTATGTTTATTACAAAGCAAACCCCAAGTCTTCATGGTGACCCCAGCAAGTAACGTTACAGCAGGGTTCCTCTGTAAAGGACTGGCAGAACATCAACAACCAGAACCATTATTATAACGAAATGTTATTTAAAAGTTGTTTTATTTAATGCATGTTCCATGACATTGTGTCATTGTTTTCTCTATTTTGCTGGCCAGCCTTTGATGATTGTAACCGTTGAAAGATTTTAGTTGTGAATGGTATTTTTTTTTAGATATGTAGAATATGTAGAATAAAATCTGTTTTTGTGTTACAATTTAAAGACAGTAGTATTGTACTCAATTGTTCTACGACTTTGTAAATATCCAATTTCTAACAAGTTGTAATATATTCAAGTTTGAATGGATTTAACTCTCTTAACTGTAATAAAGGGAAATACAGTAAATCGATTTGACAGGATGTTCTCCCCACACACCAACAACCTATTTAAAGTGATCTTAATATGGTTCTCAAATCCATAGCAGCTTGTTACAGTGAGTTTCATTGATGTTTTAGATTTGCCTCTGCCATAGTTCCACCTTTTATATCCTACATATAATGTTAAAAGAATCTTGCTGGAATTTATTTCAGATTATTTATATACCATCAATTTACAGCACATCATCTAAGGGCACTTTGTAGTTGATTCTGTCAAATCACACAAACAGAATGTGTGCAGTTAAGCTTTCTACCTTAGAAAAACTCAGCTGTTCGCATCTAGTCACAGACTTTGCAGAACTCACAACTGCTAGGTGAGAATGTATCGACACTAGATAATAGCTTGCATTGTGTCATTGATTTTGCAACAGTCAGTCATGCTCGGAGAGGAAAATTCCCTTTTAACAAGAAGGAATCCTCAGCAGAACCAGGCTCAGTGTAAGCAGCCTTCTGCTTAGGGTAATTGTGGATATGAGAAGAAGCAAACACACAAGGAACATAGGTGCACTGATCCAGGAATACTTCCTGTCTTAGATCAAATAATGGTAGATTAGCTTCATAGGTGGTGCTGTCTAGAAAAACACAAACAGCTATGCCGATAAGCTCTGAGCCTGACTTCCAGTCAAAAGGATGACAGAGAACACATTCAGTTGATTACAGTGAAAGCTGAGTTGATACTGTAGCTAGAGTCATATGAAAAAGTTTGGGTACCCGTATTAATCTTAGTTATTTTTATTTCTAAATATTTGGCTGTTTGCAACGGCTATTTCAGTTTGATATATCTAATAACTGATGGACACAGTAATATTATGCACTGATTATGCACCCCACTGATAACCTGACTCCGCCAGATGAATTTGCTCCGCATATCCATCTGGAAACCTTCCATAGAAGTAATGTTGGGAAGGGGCGAAAATACTGGTTAGCTGATTGGCCTATGTTGGTGATAGACGGGCCAAATAAACCAATCAGATCAACGAAGCATATGACGTAACAGAGCAACGACGAAGAGGAGCCAATTGATCGATCAAACTCTTGCCAAAACCAGTCGGGAGGAGAGCAAAAACATCTTTTCCTCTGAGTAAAGCCTCCAGAGCAGTGTTTTGCTCTTCTTTCAGTAAAGAAATACTCTGTAATTCCGATAAAACTTGCTCGATAGCCACGCTAACCCTAGTTTCATCGGCTGAAGCCGCCATGTTCTTTAGACTGAACTGTCGCGCTTCTCGTTGCATCACACCTCAACCCGCCTCAAAGCCAACGCTGATTGGACGTTCGTTTGGTGAACGGCTCCAAATTTTCTTCAACGGAGAGTCTCCAGACAGATTATCGAGTGAAATCTTGAAAGCTCATGAGATAAGGATGGTCTCACGAGGCTACCCCACTGATCCTTCCCCTAAAAAACATATCTGCAAAATATCTTATATTCAAAAAGAAACAAATACTTAGTTAAGCATATTGTGACAAAAAATAATCCTATCAGATTTATCGTCCCTATACTGCAGATATATTAAATTACAGCTGAACCCATTTACACAGTAGATAAACATTACCCGCCCGCCACATATCTGACTCAATAACCATTAAAACAACAATTTTCCTTCATGGAGTTTTGTTCAATAGATAACATTCAAAATTATACCCGGCAAGCCATCTACTGAAGGGTGAATACTGAATACAAGTGACTAGAGGCTGATGTTTTCGCAAAAGGAGGATCTACGAAATATTAATGTCTCTTTTTTGCTGAGTTGCCCATATTTTTGCACCTGTCAAATTTTTTGTTAATGTGTATTGCACATTTTCTGTTAGTCCAATGAACCTCACTTCAATACTAAAATATTACTGTGTCCATCAGTTATTAGATATATCAAACTGAAATAGCTGTTGCAAACACCAAAATATTTAGAAATGAAAATGATAAAGATTAATAGGGGTGCTAGAACTTTTTTTATATGACTGTATTTATTGGAAAGAAGGAATTAAAAGTGAAAATAGAGCCAGGTCTGATGAAGCTAAATTGCAGAATTGGAGAATAGAAGTAGAATGTAGCAAACTAAGTGGTCCCTATGTCTTCCAGTAGTCTAAGCCTATTATAGCATTAATAGCTAAGGATACCCTAAGCCACTTAAACTTTAATCATTATCAAAAAAGGACTTATAAGCCTAGTCATAGACAGGGTGTTGGCCTCACCGTTTAGTAACATCACATAGAAAGGTCTATAAAAATAAAATATGAAGCTTTTATAATATATTAATCTGACTTGTCACAACGTTCTTAAAACTTGCTCAAAACATAGTCCTGAAAATAACTGAATAACATAGTGGTTTTCAGAGAAGGAAAACGGTAATATCCAGACATCTTTATTACTTTAGGGATTGTTGTCTCCCATTTGTAAAGGAAATTGTCAGTCTTCAATATATATATATATATATATATATATATATATATATATATATATATATATATATATATATATACATATATATTGAATACATTTATCAAGGCGCTATCTTGCTATTGTAATTATCAGAAATATTTTCACATTTTTCCACCTTAAACATAGAGACATTTTTTTAGACTTAGACAACTTTTAATATCATTTCGTATACACAGATATAAACTTATACAAAATGAAATTTCGTTTTGAACAGCTCTCATGACATTTCCATTTCTTAAAGTGCAGCAGTGATCAAATTTAAACAGTGTGGGAGGGGAAAAAAAACAACACATTGATATGGAAGTTAAATATATTTAACTTCTTTATATTAAAGAGCATTATATATGGTGCAATTATGCAGTGTTTTGGTTTGGTTTCGTCAGTGTGGTGCAAAGTCTGTGACATGATTTAGGGTTTTCTCAACAGTTCAGCAGTCTGATGGCAGTGGGGAAGAAGCTGTTTTGGAATCTGCTGGACCTGCATCGGATACTTTGAAGCCTCTTCCCCGAGGGCAGCAGGGAGAACAGTCCATGTTGGGGGTGTGAGGGATCACTGATAATGTTACAAGCTCAGGACATGCAGCACTGGGATGAAATGTCTTTTATGGAAGAAAGAGGAGCCCCAATTATCTTCTCTGCAGTTCTCACTACTCTTTTCACCTTCTTCCAATCTGCTGCAGCCTCCCCACCACACAGTGAGACAGCTGGTCAGAATGCTCTCTATGGTGCTTCTGTACAAGGTCGTGAAGATGGATAGGATAGGGGCAGGTGGGCTCTTCTCATCCCCTGCAGGAAGTACATGTGCTTTTGTGCCCTTTTGACCAGTATGGTGGTGTTTTCAGTCCAGGTGAGGTTGGATGTGATCAGCAACACCAGGAATTGGATGCTGACCACCTCTACAGCTGAGCTGTTGATGAGCAGTGGAGTGTGTTTTTATAGCTTTTTCGTTTTATAGTTTTTTTTGTGGTTAACATTGACCTATTTCAAATGTTACATGTAATATGTATGTATATGTAATCTGCCCACCCAATGCCAACACCCAACTCACAATTTTCCAAATTCTTTCTTTTTTCCGAGACATCTGCTATATTTTAACTTACAAAAAACATACAGTATATAAGCCAAAGTCTAAACAAAATTTTTGATCACAAATGTCAAGTCAGGTTTTAGCAAATCCCCCAAAAGCAGAAACCTAGCAAAGCAGATAATCACATCTTTTCAGCTCTTGCCTCAACCCACATTAGTCCCCACAATAGAGCCACAAGCTCAGCTCTAAATATGGACAGCCTGTCTGATAGCCTATAATTTTGCAAATGAGGGACATAAAACTGAAATCCTACCTTCAAGTAATGTATCTATTGAATCATCTCTTTCTAACTGAATGCAATCATATCATCCATGCCTTTCTGAATACACAAGGCAACCTCAGTCTCAGGCAAAAGCCATTTAGGTAAAGAAGACCAGTAACATTGGCTTTTTTTTTTTTTTTTGCTTTTTCCAGGACTAGGTGATAAAAACTGCACATATTCGTGTGTAGGTCTCAATCAGGCTTGCAAAACTAATAGGCCTACATGATGCCACTACCATTAGACTTTTGGCAAAAAAAACACATACTTTAAAAAAAAAAAAGTTTAAAAAAACAATACAAAGGATAAATATCCAAAGTAGGGATTTTTTTTCTATGAACGTATAGGGAACATTGATAACAACCAGAGAACAACCATTACAGGTCCAGTAAAGGGCTGTCGTCATTGCCTAGATATTTCCAAAATTAGAAATATCCATCCCACTTCAGTTTTTGTGGTTTTCTTTTTTTGGCTTGTGCAATCAGTCAATTCAGTTCACCCAGTTAGAAGCATTTGTTTTCTCCTGTTAGCTAGCATTTATACTCTTGTCAGTGCTTCATTCTTCATTGGTGAATACTGATGCCATGTCTTACAGTCTCTGTTCAGCCACTCATGCCTCCTTCTAAAGCTGGGTTTTAGATGTAATTGGCATCCTGCTTAATTAAGAATTAAATTTAAACTTTTCGTCATCCCATATAAACCCTTAATAATATGTTTTCCCATATAATAGAGCACTTTGCTCCCAGATTGCAGATTGCTGGTGATTTTAAAATTTCTAAAACAGAATGTATGGCAGATATATTATCAGACTCTTGTCCATAGGAAGACAGGCTGTCTGGTTTTGAGACTACTCTTTAAACTTTCGTTTCTGATAAATCTTATAGTAAGAGTGGCTTGGGTTATCCTAAACTATCACTATAGTTATGCTGCTGTAGGCTTAGGGTGCTGGAGGACATAAAACCACTTTTCCTCACTCTACTACATTCTGCTTACAGTAGACTTTTTATTCCATCTGCTTTCTCTTGTCAAAGTGAATCTTCATCTAGCCTAGAACTCTTTTTACCTGTTGCACCATTCTGGAGGGTGGGCTGGTGCTCTTATAGTGTCATAGGCAAGGCTCAGCTTTTACTGCAATTTACTGTATATGCTCTCTATTCTCTTGACCCGGCTTACAACTTATCTGGTTAATGGGTTTAATTCTTAGGCAAAGCCAGCTAGCCTATTGTTACTTTCTCTAGAATAGAAAGTATTTGTGGATCATTTCTTCTTTATTCCATTCAGCTAAAAAAAAAAACAGTCAGCTACAGCAGAAGACCATCCACACTGAGCCTGGTTTTACTGGAAGCTTGTTGCTACATGCATGCTTGGTGTAAGGGGTTGCTGTAAAGTCATTCACACTATGCATTTAAGTGTCCTCTGTCACCCATTCTGCAAACTCATTGACCTGTTGCAATCAGATGGATTTTCTTGGACAGAAACCAATAACCAATCTTTCTTTATGGCTTGATTAAATTTACGCTTTGATATGCCTTTAGATGACATGGGTAATACATATTTCAAGCATAAATTCCAAAGTTAAATTGAATCAAAATAAAATGTAGCCATTTTGACTGAAAAACAGCACTTTTTATTAGGTGCATTGTTAATTGTTAAGCAAACTTCATGAGGAAAATCACTGCTAATACAAAAAGCTGATATCAATCATCGTTGACACAATAAAAATTCTAAAAGAAGAAATCAATGACAGGTTTAAAACAGATGAGATGTATATGCTGGAAGGACAACAAGACATTAGTTTTTAGCTTTTGTCATATTTCAAGAAAAATATGCAGCATGTCATTTTTGCTGATCTCTCCTTTGCAGAAGTGGAAAGGGTAACTAAAAAGTCTTTTTCTGTTACCTCAAGAGGAATTTAAAAATGTCCCCTTCTTCAGACTCAATAATACTTTATAAAATACCCGGGTGCATTTCATGCAGGAAAAACATTGATTACCAATCAATAAGAATAAGTAACTATTTTAATTCAGTAGTTTAGATAATTACATTGGCTTGCCTAAACCTGACAGTCAAGAATTATAAAATGGAGCTACATTTTTAAATGTCAGTTTAATATTTAAAGACCATTATTCAGCCTGTCTTGAAGGATGCCCAAATTTTGGTCAAAAAGGAATTGGGGGTTGGCCATCACACAATGGATTATATAATTTTCTTTCCAAGACATTAACATTTTTCTTCTTAATTCCTGATTTAAAAAAAAAACAAAACACCTAGCATCAACACCAAGAAAGATGTATTGTGATTCAGCTTTTGTAATTGTTTCAGGTAAAGGACATTTATAGTTCTACTATAGCAGCAGTTATGCATGTGCAGAAGAATACTCGATAAATAATGTTAAATGGTCAGTCAGGGGTGGCCTTTACAAGTGAAGGCTGACCAACACAGTTTAGTCTAGTAAACTGTAGTACAACCACGGTAGAGCCAATGCATGGTAGCCCTGTCTCTGTCTTCCCCAGCTGTGCCTATAATATAGCTTGTCAGTGAATGTTGATGGGTGAATGACTGTATATAGTGTTAAACACTTTAGGGTGTCCTTGGACATAAAGCGCTATACGCATACAGGTCATTTACTATTATCATTTAAACAAATCATTTAACTTACGGTAAATAACAAGACCTGGTCAGAGTATCCAATAACAAAATGTCTATAATGAGCTTCAGTCCATTGTGGGTCAACATGTCAAGTACTGTGACCTGGTTGTATACATATATATATATATATATATATATATATATATATATATATATATATATATATATATATATATATATATATATATATATATATATATATATATATACAGGTGCTGGTCACAAAATTAGAATATCATGAAAAAGTAGATTGATTTCAGTAATTCCATTTAAAAAGTGAAACTTGTATATTATATTCATACATTACATACAAACTCATATATTTCAGATGTTTATTTTGTTTAATTTTGATGATTACAAATGACAACAAATGAAAATCTCAAATTCATCATATCAGAAAATTAGAATATTGTGAAAAGGTTCAAAATTGATGGCCCCTGGTGCCACACTCTAATCAGCTAATTAACTCAAACCACCTGCAAAAGCCTTTAAATGGTCTTTCAGTCTAGTTCTATAGGCTACACAATCATGGGGAAGACTGCTGACTTGACAGTTGTCCAAAAGACGACCATCGACACCTTGCACAAGGAGGGCAAGACACAAAAGGTCATCGCTAAAGAGGCTGGCTGTTCACAGAGCTCAGTGTCCAAGCACATTAATAGAGAGGCGAAGGGAAGGAAAAGATGTGGTCGAAAAAAGTGTACAAGCAAGAGAGATAACCGCACCCTGGAGAGGATTGTGAAACAAAACCCATTCAAAAATGTGGGGGAGATTCACAAAGAGTGGACTGCAGCTGGAGTGAGTGCTTCAAGAACCACCACACACAGACGTATGAAAGACATGGGTTTCTGCTGTCGCATTCCTTGTGTCAAGCCACTCTTGAACCACAGACAGCGTCAGAAGCGTCTTGCCTGGGCTAAAGAGAAACAGGACTGGACTGCTGGTGAGTGGTCCAAAGTCATGTTCTCTGATGAAAGTAAATTTTGCATTTCCTTTGGAAATCAAGGTCCCAGAGTCTGGAGGAAAAGAAGAGAGGCACTTCATCCACGTTGCTTGAAGTCCAGTGTAAAGTTTCCACAGTCAGTGATGGTTTGGGGTGCCATGTCATCTGCTGGTGTTGGTCCATTGTGTTTTCTGAGGTCCAGGGTCAACGCAGCCACATACCAGGAAGTTTTAGAGCACTTCATGCTTCCTGCAGCTGACCAACTTTTTGGAGATGCAGATTTCATTTTCCAACAGGACTTGGCACCTGCACACAGTGCCAAAGCTACCAGTACCTGGTTGAAGGACCATGGTATCCCTGTTCTTAATTGGCCAGCAAACTCTCCTGACCTTAACCCCATAGAAAATCTATGGGGTATTGTGAAGAAGAAGATGCAATACACCAGACCCAACAATTCAGAAGAGCTAAAAGCCACTATTAGAGCAACCTGGGCTATCATAACACCTGAGCAGTGCCACAGACTGATCGACTCCATGCCACGCCGCATTGCTGCAGTAATACAGGCCAAAGGAGGCCCAACTAAATACTGAGTGCTGTACATGCTCATACTTTTCATGTTCATACTTTTCAGTTGGCCAACATTTCTATAAATCCTTTGTTTTTATTGGTCTTCAGTAATATTCTAATTTTCTGATATGATGAATTTGAGATTTTCATTTGTTTTCATTTGTAATCATCAAAATTAAACAAAATAAACATCTGAAATATATGAGTTTGTATGTAATGTATGAATATAATATACAAGTTTCACTTTTTAAATGGAATTACTGAAATCAATCTACTTTTTCATGATATTCTAATTTTATGACCAGCACCTGTATATATATATATATATATATATATATTTTTTTTTTTTTTTTTTAAAGGCGAAATGGCGGGGCATAAAAGAAGCTTTTCACTTAAACTAGCTTTAAAGTAATGGTCTCTTTTAGCGGATAACATGCTTTCAGCAATACTGGAATTCTTATATTAAATCTATTTGATGAATGAGGCAAAAGTTTATTTGCTTGGAAAATGTAGCCTCTGTATCATGAATATGGAAAAAACTTCTGGCCCCTCCCAAGACTTTACAATTTGCTCCAAAAAAAAGTACAAAATGTACCTAGAAGGCCAAATATCTCACTGGTGACTTGGCTTTCCAAGTCCAAGAAGCTGTTGGTCAGGTATTATATAAAGGACTTACTCCATTAAGAATGTGTCTGGAATGTTATGGATAATAAATTGTACAAACGAAATGAAATGACCAAAGCAAAAAAAAAAAAAACATAATAAAAATAATAAAAAAAACATATATCCTGAAGCACGCAGCAGTCTAATGTAACTCTGTTTACGCGGTAAACTCCATCTTCTGTCTCCGTCTATGCACATTGCACCCCCACATCCTCATTATGCTTACAGTTGTGAACACCAACTTCAGAGTGACGACAGTTAAAGATATCAGACTCTGTTCCTGTGCACTGCAGCTCATCCAGCCATATCTTACCGACACCTACAAGAAAAGCATAAATTAAACAAACTTTCTGAAGAACAATTATAAACAAGATTGAAGTACCTTATCATTTTCACAACATTATTTTATCTGTTGTTTTCCCACTAACTTTTACACGATCTCTTCTGAAAATATTAGTATAAAGGTGATTCCCAAACTGTGTGAAAAGACTTAACACCATTCAAAAAAAGAGATTAAATAACCACCTGTAAAATAAATCCAGTTTGCAGTATGTTATGGTGGCCCAGCCAAGCACACTTCTTCTGGCAGCCACAGGTAGTAAAAACTGTATCTTTCCAGTATTGGGTTTAATAGTATTATTACTTAATAACTCCCTTATTTCTTCTGTTAGGAAGTACTCAGTTGTATTTGTTCCTTTTCTCTCATTTCCCTTTTCATGGCCTGCTCCTCAACTTCCTTTTAAAATTTGGGGATGTTATTGAAACATTACTTTAGCTTTTCATATTTTAATTAGCTGCCCTGGTTGGAAAGGCTGCTATGGTTATGCCTTATAACAAATGTCCTCAAAATAAAAGGCATGAGAAAATCCCTGCACTGTATCATTGGTAGTTTTGTGTGTGACCATATAATCTTTTAACTAGCAGACGAACCTTTATGCTTTAGCCCAGTGACCTAGTATGCTGGATAAAGCAGTGCAATTCTATCGGAACCCAAGAAATGTTTGTTGTTTCAATTAAGATATTGGAAGTGGCTTTTTATCGCCTGGTTCGTGGGAGGAGCTTTTCATAGGGTTTTATTCTTTTCGATTTCCTACATTTCTCATCAATGTACTGCCATGTTCTGTAAGATCAATAAAATATGTGATATCTTTCTGCTCATTCCATCCATCCATTTTCTGACACACTTTATCCCGAATGGAGTTGCGAGAGTTGCTGGTGCCTAACTCCAGCTGTCTACGGGCGAGGGGTGGGGTACACCCTGGGCAGGTCGCCAGTCCATCGCAGGCAACACAAGATTACATGTTGCATAACAACTGCATCCAATACCAAAGGAGAAAAATATATAAAAAAGAAACTTTGATTTACAAAACGAGGAACTAAAGTTGTTTTAAAAAGAATGTGTAGGAATAAAAATATCAGAGCTTCTCCAACATGTAGATCAACAAAATCAAAATAGATTTTTTAAATAAATACATGTATCTCAGTTTTGATACATAAAAATAAGTTTGTCTACTAATAGTTTTAAACATTGCCTGTTTGCTTACCAGGGGCAGCAGTGAAGTGGTGAATAGCAGACTGGAACCCTAGCATCTTACAGATCACTCTTCCATCCAGAAGGTCAAACGAGTCATCGCAGATAGTACCCCAAACATTATTATGCATGACTTCCACTCTTCCTCTGTTTCTCCCAGGTACTAGACGCACATTCACTGTAGTGGAAGAAAGTTTTAAGAAATATTTAGTCCTATGCGTCTTATTAGTGCTACTAACGACAATGAAAACATATTATATAAAACTCTTCCTAGAATAATGGACAATATGTACCCACTCTAACCTCCGTGTCACAGTAACTTTGCAGTTTTACCAATTTTCTCCAACTGTATGTCCCAAATAAACTAAATGATTTTTTACTATGCCTTCATTTAGGTTAGATCATGAACATTCCAATTAGTTCATATTGTTAAAAAAAACCCTATAGAATATTCTTTATGAACAATTATGCTATCTTTACAATATATCCACATTATTACAATGCAGCCTTTATGGTCTTCTCTATGCTAGGTGTGTTATTTACTTACACTGCATATTTGACTCGCCCTTTTGTCCTTGTAATCCTTGTGGTCCAGGTGGACCTGTGAGAGACAAAGAAAACAAAGAAATAAGACAAACTTAATTACTTTTTAAGATAACAATCTAAAGTTCAAAATATGCCTCGTGAATAAGAACATTTAGATTTGGCTAAACTAACATAAATTCAAGTCAATTTAATTTTCAATTCAATTTATTTCTATAGCGCCAATTCACAACACAAGTCATCTCAAGGCACTTTACAGATCATACAGTCAAATTGATTAAAAGTTTTCTAAGGAAAACCAGTTGATTGCATTGACTTGACAAATTTAAGTATATGTCTTAGTTAAAATTATTGACAGTATGGGATAGATTTGCATCTGATTCAGTTTGATTCAGTTATAGGCCCTTGATTTGATTTATACACATACCTTGGGTTCCATTAGTTCCTGCTGGTCCTCTTGCACCTGTTTATGCAATGCATAACACAGACAATACATTAGAACAATGGTAATAAGACTGTTGAAACTGTTTAAGACAACATGCAACCATTTCTTTGTCTGCCAGACATAAAATCAGACTCATGCTGCCTTGAGTTAGATACAGGGTAGACCCATTTTATATACAACAGAAAAACATACACGTTTTGCTTGTTTGGAGAGATAAGTTTGGCAGTGAAAACATGACTTCAAAGACATGAGCTGCATTACCACTCAAAACATGCTAGAAGGTAATGAGTCCAAGACAGAGGAAAAAAAGAGAGAAACCTTTGAGAAAGAAGTCCATTGAAATAACCCTGAAAATGCCTTTGCTGAGATTACCAAGGTGGTTGCCAAACCAAAAGGTTTCGTCTAAAATGACAACCATAAAACAATCTGTTGGTGGACTGCAGGTATGAATGACAGATGCAGAAGGACAAATCTTTTGACATAGAAGATATGAAAGAAATACCTCTGAAGATGATTATACAAAGATTTCTTCATAATTTAAGAATTTTTCAATGTAAGAATTCTTCCAAATGTACATTATGATGACCCTTAGCATCCTGTTTATCACACTATCATAAAAAAATAGTCTGAAGCCTCTTCAGAGGAACTAAGGTTGACTTCTACCCTAGATGGATTAATCAGGAAAGGTTTGGTTTGATTTACATTAATGTCAAACAGTGAAGAAATTATGAGTTTTTTAGAAATTGTGTTTATATATATTATATGCAACAATCTGTCCACCTGATGATTTTAATTCTAAATCATGTTAGATGAACAGGAAGTTTAAATAAATTATCACAGGAGGTACTCTTTGATCATATACTTTGGAATTGGAAGAAACTGCTGACCTGGGGGTCCCTGAGGACCAGTACTTCCAGGGTCTCCTTTTTGTCCTTTAAGACCAGGCAGTCCAGGACTTCCTGCAGAAAAATAAAAAGTATTAGCACCTTTTTAACACCGTACACCATGTTTAGGACATATTTTGTAATGATCTCAGATGCAGTATCATTCTATTTTAACTGGGTGGCATTGGTTATTGATCAGCATGCCTTTGGAAAAAACACCCCATTATCCAACGTTTTCTTCTGGTCCACATTTCTTGATCAACTGTGTTTTTCTGGGTGATAATTTGTTGGTTGATTTGATTTTGATATTTCAAAAGTTCACAACATTTACATTGTAATTATCTCTAAGTGCAGCATTTTAAGAGTATATCACAATATTCTCTTAGAAAGGCTTTGACTTGGATCCAGAAAACATCACTTCACTTGTGCTGTTTAATATGTGTCTCAACTGTGTTAATGAAAGATTTTTACATGACAGAGTTACATGCAATGAAGGATGCTGTCAACAAAAACATGTTTTCTTTCTACTGTACTGATGACTTATTGGTCCTGTGGTCAAGTGGTTCTCTCTCAGACATTAATTTGGGAGAGAACTACTGGACCCTTTTTGCTGATACAAAGTGTCAAAGCTCTCTTTCAAATGCTGACTCATTCTTTTGTTTTTTTCTGCTATGCTTATTTTGAAGATAAAGCCACTGAAATACACGCTTTGCGCAAGTATCAACCCCCTTGAACTTTTCTGCCTTTTGCTTCAAACATATACAATTTTAAAGTTTTTGTGAATTAAATGTATTGGATATATTAAACTTTAACAAATAAAAATCTGAAATACTAACTTTGCAAAATGACTCAGCACTCTTGATTCAACACTTTGTATCACCAACTTTTGCTGCGATTACAGCTGTGTCTCCATCAGTTCTGCCCATCGAGAGAGCGAAAATTTTGACCATTCATCCTTGCAAAACAGCTGGTGCTCAGTAAGGTTGGATGGAGAGCGTTTATGAACAGCAGTCAGAGGTGGGAGACGTGGAGTCAAGTCATCTCCATGTCATGTGTTTGTTCTGCTCAGCCACTGAACCATCCATCCATCCATTTTCTGACACGTTTAATCCCAAGCCGGGTCGTGAGGGGTGCTGGTGCCTATCTCCAGCTGTCTACGGGCAAGAGGCGGGGTACACCCTGGACAGGTCTAAGGAGAATTTAGAGAAGTCAATTAACCTAACAGTCATGTTTTCGGACTGTGGGAGGAAGCCAGAGTACCCGGAGGGAACCCATGCATTCCGGGGCTGGGAATCAAATTTAGAACCTTCTTGCTGCAAGGCCTCAATGCTACCCACTGTGCCACTGAGCAGCCCGCCGATGAACCAGGTGAGTCAAATCTTTACAATTCAATGTTCTTCTTTTATCTGTGGAATACTGCAAAAATTAGAAATATCCTGTCCAGGGTGATGCTAGGAAACTAGTCCATGCATTCGTTACATCAATGCTGGACTATTGTAAGTATTTATTATCAGGAAGCCAACAAATTGTATTTTAAAGCCTTCAGCTGATCCAACATGCTACAGCCAGAGTTCTGAAAATGAAAGAGAGATCATATTTCCCCTATCTAAGCTTCCCTTTATTGGCTTCCTGATAAATGCAGAACAGAATTTTAAATCCTCCTTCTAACATTAAGCTCTAAATAATCAAGCCTAATCTTATATCAGAGATCTTGAATAAAATCTCTTAGATTTTTTATCACTGCTGCTTACCTTTATCAAGGCTGCACTTTAAAAAAGGAAATACTCTAGAGAGCTATACTTAATAGAAATTTCTTTTTAAATAAAGTTATATTATGATTAGTTGCCTGGTGACTAGAGAGGTATGTGGAGGTAGAGTTTTAAACATTCCAGGCCAGTGGGGCAAAATTTCATTCCGGACAGATATTTCTCCTTCACGCTACCTTGGCCCCGATTCTTGCTCTACTTATCTATACCTCATCCAAAAATAGTTAGGTTATCCTGAGCTATTTTCTATATATGTGCAGTGATGGCAAAACTACTCACTTTCCGTACTTGAGTAAAAGTACAGATACTGTTAAAAAATACTCTGGTAAAAGTGGAAGTACTGATTAAACTTCTTTACTCAAGTAAAAGTAAAAAAGTACAGGCTTGTAAATTTACTTAAAGTATAAAAGTAAAAGTAGAAACTACTTTTTCATGCCGTTGCCTACATCTTAAATGGATGTCTGCCAATAGGACTAGATCTCCGTTGTGTTCATTTTCAATCATCTCGTCGTCCATGCTACTATGCTAACGCCACCGCCACCAAGCTGCAATGATTTGCCGCCAATGAATACCGCCGAATCTGTCGATTCATCTTGTAGTGGTGCGTCAAATGCAACGTAGATTCCCATCCAATTAGATTGAATTTGGTATTGATGACGTGAAAAATAATAACGGTAACTCCATTGAAATGATTCAAAACTAAAGTAACGAGCCAATTTTTTAAAATGTAAGGAGTAGAAAGTAAAGATATGTGTGTAAAAATGTAAGGAGTAGAAGTAAAAAGTCGCCATTAAAATAAGTAGTAAAGTAAAGTAAAAATATCAAAAAAATCCACTTGAGTACAGTAACGAAGTATTTGTACTTCGTTACTTCCCATCTCTGTATATTCTTGTGCTGCTATATGCTTAGGCTGTTGGAGGACTTAGGGACCACTTTTCCTCATTCTGCTTCTTTCTATCTCCTTTCTCCCATTCTGCAGTATTTGTCAAGTTCAACCCATAATTTTAAGTTCTCTCTGCTTTTTCTCATCATAACATCTTCCTCTCGTCTGTTCCTGTTTTGCTCTGATATCATCCTGGATTGAAGTATCAGCTGTGCTGTTGCCATCTGTTTATAGATGTTGGAGCCTGAACAGTTTCCAGTGTAGTCCTGTTTATTTTACTGCTTCTCACTGTATGTCCTCTCTTTCATCCGCTGACCTGAGAATGGGCTTTGATGGAACAGGCTTTCATCCTGTTAAATGAGAGGTTTCCACTCCACTCAGCAACATGCATGATTGGTTTGAAGGATTGCTTAAGAGTCAATGACAAAATGCAAGCAAAAATCATGCTGGAAGCTCATTCATGAGGGGCATGTGTTGCAAATCAATGACTGGATGCAGTCATCTGATTTTCCTATTCAGTCTCACAGTGTTGTCTCTGTAAAGTGCCTTGAGATGACGTGTTGTGAATGAATTTATAAATAACTGAATTGACTTGAAAAGGACTGCTGGATCAGTGCTTCCTTTTGTCTCTCATTACAGATGATTCAGAACAGGAAAGTTCACTCTGAATGGGATGTAGCATTCCACCTAAAAATAGTGACTTGTAAGATTACACAGAAGCTGAAAACTCATCTTTCTGGTTAAGCTCTTTCTGCTTTGAAAATGTAATGTCCTTTAGCTGCAAAGGACTGAATTCTTCTATTATTAGAATGATGGCAGTTTCTAAATATTTAATAAGAGCTATTTTTCTGTGTGATGACCCTGCTCCAGATGTCTGAGAAAGTTAGAATGTTTGTGCACCACCCAAGACAAGATAATGGACAGTGACTGGTATAATATTTGTTCAGACCTTTCAATGTATACTAACATCAGAAAACTTTTAGATACCTGTCTGTCCAGAAACTCCAGGGTCACCTTTTTCTCCACGAGGACCTGGAGTAACAAAAAAACAATACACTTAAAAGTCAAAATAGACTTTAATGGTATTTACACTGGCAAATCAGAGGGTTGGTGAGAAAATAATGAAATAAAAGGCTTTCTCTTCTGAAAGGCAAGGTCAGTGTGTATAAAAGCACCACAATCTTATGAACCTTTTGGTTAAAAACTTACCTGGTGGACCAAGCTCTCCTGGATCCCCCTTTCTGCCTGGTGTTCCTTCATTTCCTACTTGACCTCTGGGACCTACAGTGGCACAAATATACACATTCATACACATATTTTTGGGTTTCACTATTCTGGCGGGGACTTCCATTGACTACCATTAATTTGTAGGTGAATTCTATAGCCTAACCCTGACTGTTACCCTAAACGCTAAGTATGTACCTGTCATTACAGGTACATACTTACAGGTGCATTACAGGTGCATACCCCTTTCCAAAACTCAATTCACACCTTAGTCCTAAGTCTAAACCACTAATATCCCCAAGGGGACAGCTGGTTCCCACGATGTAGGGCTTTACACGGAAATTCCACCTTGTAAGGGGAAAAAAATACAAACACACACAAAACAGCAAGACTAGCTGATTGTAATTTTTCTGCGATGTTTTGTTAAACAGAAAACATGTGAAAACATCCTCTGTCTTCCCTTTTGTGCCAGCAAGTCAGCACTATTACTGATGACCATAACACATTAAAATGGGAAGAGGCACTAAGATATTTCATAACTACAATACAACCTGCTGACAGATTTCCAGTCAGGAGTTAAGTGAGTTTTTGATCTATCCATGTTGTACTTTTCTTTTACATGGTTTACTGACCTCCCCTTTCCTGCTACAGTACAGAAATGTGAATGTTGTTAAAGCACTCTAAGTTGTCCTCAATTGTGAGCACTCCTGTAAAAAAATGTTTTGAAAGTGTCACAGTGTTGCCCTGTGATGAATTTTGCACCTCCCTTTTACTCACTGACCTCAGGAGAAAGTCCCCAGGTCCTATTAAACCGTTTTTATTTTTTTTTCGGTTTGATGTATATTTTTTACAATAATGTCAAAAGAGAAGATGCTAGTAGAGAAGATGGTTCTGTATATCAGTAAATATACTATTTGTCCAGAAGCAGACAATTTATTTAAGGACATCATTTATAATGTATTGTATTTCAGCGTTATATATATATATTTTTTTTTTACCAAACAACATGCTTTTGCATTAGCTACGTATTTACATATAACATGAGAATAACTGAAAACAAAAACTCACCAGGAGCCCCTGGCTCTCCTTTCCCCCCTTTGAGTCCTGCTTCTCCCCTTTGACCTGGAGCACCAGGAATCCCGCTGTCACCTGTCAACAAATAAAAAGAATTACAACGTAAAATTCATGTATGTCTATCACATGATTGATTAATAAAAATGGAAAAAGAACAGTATGATGATTGCAGCTGACATGGTGGGAGAAGAAATGTAGGAGAACTACCTCTAGACTTCAAATTCACCTTCCATGTTTAGACAACTTTGAAACAACTGTATCTACTGACTCTACAACAATCATTGTACCGTCGGTAGGAAGGAGAATGTAAAATTCACATGGTTGTACCAGAGAGTATTCTATACACCATGTTATAACTGTAAATATGCTTTTAACAGTTAGTCATCGCACAGCAAAGGACAACTTTCCGCTGTTATGTTGAAGATACTGATTAATTTTATATGTTCAGCAGAGAGCAGACATGTTTTGAAACGTCAAGCTCTCTGTAACCCTGTTTTTTAAATTTATTTATTACAATTTAGGTTGTTCAAATTCAATGATGAGCTAATAATGGTATAAAGGTAAGTGCTGTACTACTTGAGGCTTATAAAACTAATCCAATTCAGCACCTCTGAGACGTCATATAGGACTGTTTTCCTACAGCAACAGGGTTCTGGTTTGGATCCCCGGTCCAGGGTTCTTCTGCATGGAGAGTGCATGTTTTCACCGTGCATGCGTGGGTTCTCTCTTGGCTCTCTTCCTCCCATAGTTCAAAAACATGACTAATAGGTTAATAGGCTTCTTTAAAATGTCTTCAGGAGTGAGTTTGTGTGTGCATGATTGTATGGCTCTGTTTGTCTGTGTCACAGACTGGATGGATGGACGGACGGACGGACGGACGGACGGACGGACGGACGGATGGATGGACTCTTTAGTGATCAGGCTACTCAGGAAGGTGTATTTTTTGTTTTCATCAGACATAATATTAATGTACAATTTTGATATGATCACAGATCATTTTGCATATTGAGAGTGTGGTATAACATTCTTCAATGCATTTTTTCTGAATATGTTTAAACAGATGCTTTTCTTATTTTATTTATACAAATAATCACATCCGAAATCATTTAAGAACAAAGTGTTTTGCTTTCTGCTATAATAAGGTGAAGTCAAAGGGATTTGCTCTTCCTACCAAATTCTCCTGACACAGAGAATATAAATAGTATTAGGGATATTTGTGGACCTATGGGGACATTCATCTTTCTGTGCCTTGGTGCTACACAGGCACATTTTCATATCAAGCTTTAAAAAAAGAAATGTATATATCACGACCTTTACATGGAAGGTCATCTTAACAGTTTACAGGTTCTGTTTTGTGCTCATACCAGCTGTAAAAATAAAGTGGCAAAGAATTATACTTTTTGAAGCAAACCTTTTTTTTTTGCTGACCGGCCAAGATTGCAGAAGGATTTATTTCAGTTACATTTTCCTTTTTCTTGCGCATGGCGGTTAGTAAACCACCTTAACCCGATGTGGTTTATGTTAAGGACAGAAGAGCTTCTTAAAGAGAAAGTTAGACGTCTCAGAGGTCAAAACATTTTGTTTGTTTTTGGGTTACAAGATACTTGTATTGTCCACCTTAATTTACAAATACATTCCTTTCAAAGCCTACAATATTCTGTCCTGTATTTTTAAATTTATTTATTTTGTCTATCATAGTTCAAATGTACCTATAGTGAAGATTACTATGGTGACTGCCCTACCTGTACATTACAGACCTCTCTCATCTTTCAAAGTAGGAGAACTTACACAATTAGTGGTGGACTGAATGCTTTTTTTTTGCATAGGGAAGTGAAACATCTTCAAGAAATAAGGGAAGTTTAGTTATCTAAAAAAATAAAGCCATTTCAGGCCAGGAAAACATCTGAAAAACATTATACTCTGCATTGGAGTATAATAGAAAATCCCTTTATTGAAAATCCCTTTACTGAGAATCCCTTTATTGTCCCACATTGGGGAAATGAAGGGATACCAAGAAAAATAAATCTCCACAGTAAGTGACATGTCTCAATTTCTGTGAAATCATATAAAGAGTAAGATGGGCTAAAGTCCAATTTATATCTCTTATTAAATAATTCTCACATCAGCATTTAGAAAGGTTGTAGTATTAGATTATTTCTAGTTGCATGCAGATCTCATTGTTCTGTTATGAAATAAAACCTCATAGTGTGTTGTGTAAAAAGTTTTATAAACCCTAAATATAAAGTATATTCTTTGCAACAATTATTGGAAACCTCCAACAATGTGGCTTGTTTCCAGAGATAAAATGATAATAAAAAAAAAAAAAATTAAAAACCCAATCTGGCATTTTTAAAACATGTTGAAATTTCTGGAAATGGATTTACCTTTTGGCCCTCTTTCTCCTTTCGGACCTTGTTGAAAGAAAACATCAAATAATTTTTTTCATTAGTGATTGATTGAAATATCAGTACTGTTTCTCTAGATCAACATTGCTGAATTTTTAAAGCATTTAGTCCAGCATGCTGTACCTGTTTGAACTCTAATGGTTGTCATTGTGTTTTCCAGGTTGTGGTTGCTAGCATTGAGTTGGTTCAAGTCAGCCCTTAATCTTTGTAACTGACCTTCCGCACCACAAAGGCTTGTGACCTGTTGGCAGAGTAACCAAGATAATTATATTTAATTAAATGTCACATCACATACAGCCTGGTTAAAATTATTTCATTGTTCCTACTTCAGATGTCACATTTAGTTTACCTTAGGTCCGTTTAAATTACCTCCTCCCCCCTTACAAACCTATTCTTTTCTATATAGCTTTTGATTTGAGTTTAACGACATTCCCACTCACATTAGTAGATTCTTCAACTCTGTCAGCAAAAGCCTAGAACAAACTGGCCTTATTTCCTTTGAGATATAAAGATACATTCCAACCTGATTTTGCAAATCCCATAGATGGCTCCGAAGGTTTTTGGTTTCCTGGCTGTTGTTGACGACCAGGCTGAGGTCGAAGTTGCTGTAATAGGTTTGTCTTTCTGCTGAGTTCCTTGCTGGTGTACAATCCATCGTTAAAACTAGAACCAGAAAAAAACAAACATTTTAAAATATATTGATTTTGCTATTTGAATTTTAATTTTTTATTTTTTTAATATTATAGATTAAAAAAAAACAATGAAGAAAAATCACAAGATTTTCCTTCATTTCAGCACTTTGCTTTAGTTCTAGCAGCTGTTGTTTGTACCTTTATAAATGAGAAAAATATCGAAGGCTGTCTGTAAGATGAGATAGATTATTAGGAGAGTAAAACGCCACTGTCTTCTGGATTTTGTTGGTGTCAGATCTGAAACACAGAGAAAAAAAAAAGTACAATTAGAAAAAAAACTGAGAAGCAGTGTGTCATTCATTTGGGCCATTTAAAAGTAAGACCATTTAACTTGGCCATGTTCTCAGCACAGATATATCAATAAAAATGGGCCAAACACGCATTTAGTGAAGAAAATCTCATTCCAGCTTAGAAATTATTATCTGTCTGTTTTATTAAACAAGACCATGCATCCGTTTTATCTGCCCACTGCCCTTTTAAGTTGTTTACATGCTCGCTGCATTTATTAATGATTTGAGTCTTCTTATTTAATACTGTAATTCAGCTGCATAGTTCTTGTAAACACATATTGCATATTAAAAATTGCAAAAATATTTTTTATTTATATTCTATTTATTAAAAAAAATATATTTTTGTATTTATATTTAAATATTTGTTTTATATAAACTCAAATATAAAAAAATTTTTGTGTAACAATGTAACCAATATTTTATCTAAATACTGCACATCTAAATTTAAGTATTTAATTTAATTTGTATGAAAGGCAAGTATTTTAAAAAGCTGTGCACTTTTTATCTTTTGTGAAACTATACTTTTTTTTTACTTATCTGTGACTCTTTTGGAATCATATTTTGTCCTACAGAATATGATGAGCTCATTTTAAAAGGTACAAATTCAAGCTAAATGGAATTACAGCCATTGCATGTAAATGCCTAAGGTTAGCTAACTACTTTTCCATTAATTAGTTCTGAGAGGTTCCCAGTGGTTCTTACCATCATGCTGGAGGTGGTAATCGTTACTCCTCAGCGGCATGTTGAACAGGGGATTATTATATGTGATCTGCTCCGTCATTTTGTCCACATCATTCTTACACTGGCTTAATGTCTGTACTCTTCTTACTTAAGAGGATTTCAATGTTGGTAAAACAACTCCTCCCCAGATTTCAATTTAACATGCATGAAACTGCGTAATGAGCTCAAAAAGGAGAAGGGGGAGGCAGAATCTGGAACTGTTAAATAACGAAACCTAAATATTTTCCCAGTGTTTTGTATATTTCTATTTATTTTCAGAAAGTATTATCTTGTTTTTCCTTAGTCCCCTTAGTTATAAAGGCATTAAGTTGCAAATGTGCTTTTTTGGCTCACCTGTAGAAAAAAGTTTTGCTTTAACCTTTCCAATAGCCTGTAAAAGGGATAAACCATGTTATTTGAAATGACCTATTCAGTAATAGTTAATGTCAGTAACTTAATCCTGATGAAATACTTGGAAAGCACAGCACAATGCCATGCAACAGCTCCAAAAAAAACCAAATAAACATTTTTTTTACTAATTTCACACTTTTGTATTACATTAAAATGTAATTCAATTTATATTTATATTAAAACTATTTGAATATTAAGAAAATTGTTGTTCAAGAAGGGGATCAATAAACTTTTTTAGTCAGGTAAATTTGATGATGCGGCAACAGTTCTGTTGGGATCCGGAGGTTTGCCCACCAGAGGGCGCCGAGGATCCCTTTCTGAGGGCTTCTGCTGTCTGTTGGGATCCAGAGGCTTGCCCACCAGAGGGCGCCATGGATCCCTTCCTGAGGGCTTGTGCTTAGCTGCAACACCTGTCTTTAATCTCCTTATCACCCTTGGGCCTACTTAAGGGGGAGGAGACTAACACTCCAATGCCAGAGTATCTGCCAGTTACGGTTAGCAAGACCTGAGCCAACCTGCCTGTCTAAGTCTTCTGACTTTCAGTGATCCGAACCTGATCCTGTTTTCTCCACTCTGCCTCACAGGTTGATCCTGCCCGTTAACCTGAAACTCTGGAGAGTTTACTCTGCTGGAAATCTGCCTGCCAGTTCTCAGTTGAACTCTGGAGGGCCTCTTCAGTCAGCATCTGCCTGCCCGCCCTCAGAGGATAACTTGGAGAGAAACTGTCAGTGATCTGCCTTCAAGCTCTGCCTCCACCTCAGCCTGGTCCTCAAGAGAGAGAAAGAGAGAGAGAGCTCATCTGAAATCTGCCCGCCAGCACACAGACAGCCTCTGCCCAGCTCTCAGCTCTCCTCCAGCCTGCACAGGGTTCCCAACCAGAAACCTGCCCGCCAGCACTCCGACTGCCTCTACCTAGCTCTCAGCTCTCCTCCAGCCTGCACATTGTTCCCAACCTGGAACCAGCCCGCAGCACTCAGACTGTCTCAGCCTAGCTCTCAGTTCACCTCCTGTCAACACTCAGCTCTGCTAGCCCTCAGCCCTCGGCCTGCCAACAGCCTCTGGATCCACAAGGTTCCCCTCCCCTCTCTGCAGCTCTGCTCATCCCCAGACCAGCGGGGAACCAAATCCTGATCAGTTTCCCGAACTCTGGACTTGTTTAATTTGTCTTCATTTCTTTAATAAACCTTTTGAACTTTTCTCCTGCCTCCGAGTGTTCTGCATATGGGCTAGGTTCATCACCTATTATGACAAGTTCCTGTTGTTCCCAGTTTAAAGCCTCTAAAAAAAAATGCAAAAAGGGGAACTTTTGGCAGTAACTCATATCATCTTGTGATTAAGTTTTAGCACACTTTGCACTTTCGTTGTGTGATTTTTTTGTTACCTTTGAATTAATTATTCTGACCTTTCTACCATCCTCACAGACATTTTCAAAACCTTGCTGAACCAATCCTTAGAGCCAGCATGCTTCAAGTCTGCCACCATCATTACGGTCCCAAGAAGCCTCAGGTCACCTCACTCAATGACTACCGGCCTGTTGCACTGACTCCTATCATGATGAAGCGCTTCGAAAGGCTGGTTAGAACACATGCACATTGTTCTGAACTTCCATATGAATGTGTTTTTTTTTGTTGTTTTTTTTGCACCATGTTTTTTTTTTTCTCCCACACTGTTTACATTTGATCACTGCTGCACTTTAAGAAATGGAAATGTCATGACATCTGTCCAAAACGAAATTTCGTTCGTTTGTATAGACTATGTGTATATGTAACGACGATAAAGGTTGTGTAAGTCAATTGGTCCACTGGTAGTGAAAAAAGTAATGTGTTGCAATAATGTTAGTAATTCTGATGCCAGGGGCGTTGCTAGGCACAAAGCTTTACTGGGGCACTGGCCCCCTAGTGCATATGCCCCTCCTTCCATACATAAATACAGACAAGCACACTGCCCAACCCTGATACATTCCTACCAAAATTACCAGTTGAGATATTAATGAGTATAAGAGCATATTTGTTTTAACAAACATGAACATTTTCAACATTGCAGCTATAAAAAATAAGACATCAACAACTTTAAAAATAAAAAGTTTCCTTATACACATTCTGAAGTAATCATTAATTCCTAGGTTTCCGAGTTTTAGTTCAGGGGAAAGTTTAACTCAACCCGAACTAAGTTTTCCTTTTATTTTTTGAGCATTAAAGTGTACCTCCTATTTTTCATTTTTGCAAAGTGGTCAATCACTTGTGACTCAGCTTAGAAAGTTCTTCCTTTTCAACTGATAAAATAGCAAGATGATGGAGCCTATCTTGTCCCATTGTGCACCTCGGCCAAGTGTGGAGCCTTCTCAACACACTGAATGACCTTTCACAACTCCATCTGTAGACTGGGATTGTGAGGGAGATCTGGATGACCTGCTTTAGTGTTGGGAATATGATGTTATCAAGCAAGTTGAAAACACACTGCATATCCTTGATAACAAGGCTTTCTTTTTTAACCAGGAAAAGCTCAAACCATTTTGAATTAAATGAACGTTTTTTTACTCCAAATTTGCCCCAGGGGATAGTGGGACAACTTCACTTGTTTAGGACCATCATGCTTTCCCCCTAAGTCCCTAATGTCCCCTTCTTGTTTGTGGAAGCTGGTTGTTGCATCCTCATCACCTTCATGGTCCTGTCTCTCCTGTCTTTCACCTGTCTCTTGCCAGTCAGTCTCGCCTCCTCCTCCCTTTCCTACTCCAGCACCTGCATTCTCATTCTCTACAGCAAACATAAAAAAAAACGCAAATTTATAATTATGTAAATATCTATCATATTACTTATAACGTTCCTAATGTAACTGGTTACATTAAATCACTAATTCATTACGGGACCTTACCTCCCTCTCTCTCATCTTGTTTTACTGCTTCCCTGTCTCTGCTTCGTGTGAGGAATTTCCTGCTATCCATCTACAAACCAATGCAGTAATTTTCAGTTAGTAGCCTATAAATCATGTGGTTTCACTGGGAAAATAATAAAATTGACAGGTAAGAAACATTACCAGAACTAAAAATGCGTCGTGGCTGCACAGTGTCCCATCCAACTCAGTTGAGAGCGGCGTGTTAGTTTACCTGCAGTTCATGCAGTGACATGCGGTGACGTGGGGGCGCTAATACATCCTCAATTTGGAGTTACCAACACACTTGCTGCGCATTTGAGTAGAAATATACGTCTCCTTCCGTTGGAAATATCTAAATTGATGCATTAAAAAAATGTAATACTGTTGCAAATATTCATGAGATTTATACTGGGGCACAGCTCATTTATACTGGGGCACGTGCCCCAGTAAATGGGGTCTGGCGACGCCGATGTCTGATGCCTTCATTCGTTTTAAATGGAATTCTTGTTTTACTTTATTGCTTCTTTCAGGTTCAGAATAAAAAACTTTAATTATAAAATTTCATCATAAATACAATAGATAAATAAAAAAAACACTGTTTACCCACAATGTAACAACCCCAAGCCCCTTCTATGTGTACTATTGATTTAGAGTTAGTATTCTGAAAGTTATTTTGTTCACAATAAATGCAAAATATATGTATTGGGACTTCAAAAATGTTTCTAAAACGCACATTCCGTTGAGTCAAAAAATCTTTTAATTGCTAATTTGTACCTAATTCCTACTCAGAATTATACACAGCCATAGGCGGATCTACTGGGGTGGCATAGGGTGGCAAATGCCACTCTAAATGACAGCCTTGCCACCCCTGCTGTCACCCCAGTTGGCGGTAGGGGTGGCGAGGCTTATAAATTATGGATAATTTGAGAATTACCGACCGCTAATTTCCAATGTCGGACTGCAGTGAATGCAGCGACTGAGACTGATTTGTTTTGAAAACCGAATAGTGCAAAGCGAGGGAGCCAGGGGTCATGGGGAGAGGACACACAGGATTTCTCTATCGAGAAATTGAATCATAATGAAAGCACAATGTTGCTTGCATAGCTGCAATGCTGATTTTGAGATGATAAAAATCAGGTTGCAGAACGTTATTTTTCTCTATGATGTTGGTTAGGCCTGACATGTCAGGCACATAAAGACATATTTGCGGTCAACTATGAGAGAAAAGAGACTATCAAGTTTGGTTGTACTCAAATCAAAATGCACAAAGGTATTGGATCTAAATAAATTTGTGAAGCGTTTTGCTGAGCAACATGGAAATCACCGCATTCAGCTGTTATAGTCATGTCTACTTTATGTTATGCTCTCTGGTGAGCCTCTACAGAGCTGTTACGTTTTGTTTTGGCACCTGAGAAAATCTGATATTTCCTTTAATAGAACCAAAAGTGTTAAAAGTAAAGTTAAAAATGGGATACTGGTATAAATCCTGCTTAATATGAAGCAATGTTGGTTCTTTTTTTGTATATATAATATGAAACTTCCTGCCCCCCTCTCGCCACCCCATAAATATTTTTCTAGATCCGCCCCTGTACACAGCAGTTAAAGTCTGTAAAATTACTGCATTTGGACAAACGGAATCAAGCATACTTTGATTTTTCAAAACTGTTTACAGTTTGTAATGATGTTAATTAAGACTGATAAAATGGACCTAAATGAAAGATATCATATCACAGGCGTATAATTAAATTGTTTTTATGTCTCAACCACCACCCCCTACTCCCCCCACCCCCTTCCTGGCTATAACAAGCTTTGATTGACACCATTGACAAAGTTCTCAGGAAGGGAATCCCGGTTACCGTGCATGGCTAAGCGAACACTAGTGGTTGACAGAAAGAAAGCAGTCAACCCCCATTGCACGTCTCGCATCTAACCAGCAGGTGTCACTCTAGCGTAGTAATTGTTCCCCCCATAGCTCACACTTGAAGATGTTTGTTTGTTTATTTTTTCTAGTTATATAAAAGTGACTCTCTGCTAAAGGTATGTTATGAAGATGATCCGTTTTCTTAAACTGAACAAAAACATTTTTTTCCCTCTGCTTCCATGCGCTTTAAATTTACAAATCACAATCAATTTACGAACAAAACGTTTAAACTATTCCTACCTCTACGCTAAAACACCTCTGATTGATCTACCTTAATCTGACTGCCTTTTAAACACACCTATTGCCTCCAGGAGCCTACAAAAAACTATGCAACCGAACGAAGTAAATTGCAGGATATTTACAAACAGGTTTAAAATCAATAGCAATGGCTATTTGTGTTTTAAAAGAAATAAGAGGGTAACCTTTGGTTGGTTTTGTCTGTGTTGTTTTTATTTCTTATTATTTATCTCTCAGCCATTATCTTATTGAACAAAAAAAATTAGAAACCTTCCACTTGTTTCATATAGCCACAAAAAAAGTTTATAGCGAAAGTTATTCAAACGCATCATATTAATAGGTCTATCAGCTAATATTAAGAATTCTGCATTTATTATGATCATAAATTATTGCTAACGAAATAAATTGGAGAGCTTAAGTGTCAGACTTCTGAATTAATCGCAACCTCTGTTGTTGTTGCGTGTCTGCACGCGCATCCCCGCAGTCAAAAACAAAGAGGATATTCGGTAGCTATGGTAACTAATCAGAACTCCAGTTCTTCCCAGAAAATGACGGGATGGCAGTTAATAAGGCTAAAGCTTGGCAGGAGGATCAAACAGCAGCAGCATCGAAGTGAAACAAATGGTTTTACACTGTTTGTTCGTTTTCTGATGATTTTTTTATTTAAAAAAAGATCCAAATGAACGAATTAATTAATGTAATATTTTAATGCAGCTTTTTAAATCTATTCAGCACTCAAAGTGTTATAAAAAATTATGTATTTGTCAAGGCGTGGTGGATTTTTAGCCTAATGGCCTTCGGATATAAGAAAGCAGATTTTGTATTTTTCTGAGCGTTTCTGCAAAGCAGATGTCTAAAAAGAGTGACCGACTCAAATCATTGAAGGCCACTCCATATAATATACAATTATATTAAAGATACTACTCTGCAAAACAATCAGGTTATAGGATATTTTCGGTTCCTAAAAAAATCTGGTCAGCTGTCGAGAGGCGAATGGTTGAATTTGTATGAAAAGTCATTCCATCTCAGCTGACGGAGATATTCTCCTCTGGTTGCATCTTAAACTCATGTCTCCTTTTGGCAAAGAGACGCCTCGCTTAATCCAACGTCGTCATTCTGTTTAAGACTGCCGAGAGCACTGATTGGTCGTTTTGGATGTTGTTGCTTCTCTTGCGGACTGTGAGTTCGACAACACGCTCTGCAGACTTTGGAGACAGTGCTGAAAGCCGTCCGTGCATCAGAGCAGTGCGCGGCAGCAAGCCCAGCAGCCCTCTAATGGGTCACTGACCATGACGCGCAGGAGGTTCTTTGCGCAAATTGGTTATCCTCGTTTTCACCACATATTTTAGCAAAACAAAATGGTCCTGCTTTAATTGTTACTTCTGTTGACATTTTAATGTATTGATTTATTTATTAAAGAAATGGACGGTGTTCCACCAGAAGAGAAGACACCTTCTGGGACACTGATGGAGGAAGAGGGGAATCTTAGCAGCGCTGATAATAGCGAGGGAGAAAGCGATTCTCCGTCAATAGCCATGCTGCCTCTTCAGGCCGCCCAACAGGCCCACAGAACAACCAACTTCTTCATTGATAACATCCTACGACCGGATTTTGGATGCAGGAAAGAACTCGATCTAAGTACGAGAGAGAAGGCGCAAAGTTCCTGCCCGGACCTTTGTAGGTCGTTTCCAGTGTCAGCATGCCTGGACTCCAGCTGCAGCAGCGACAGCAATTCATCCTCCATCGCCAGTCCCAAAAAGTGCAGCAACGGCGACACAGCAGCCCCTGGATCAAAGAGCGAGGTGTTCAAACCCGAGGAGAACCCCGGAGAGGATGCTGTCTCCTCTCTAGTAGTGCTAAACGGGAAGGGTACCACTACGGCGGAGAACCAACCCATGCTCTGGCCCGCTTGGGTCTACTGTACCCGCTACTCTGACAGGCCCTCTTCTGGTAAGACGAGAGATTCACAAACAGATCCTAACAGGCAAATTAACCTAGCTTTAAATTATTAGATAGAATACTGATTTTACTTTATAATGTGATTCAATCAATTTCTTTTTTTCTATCACCCATTTCATAAAATTGACCTTTAGCAATAACCGTTACACTTAAACATTTGAACAACAAAAACAAAAAGCAAAACAAAACAAAAAAAATCAAAGAAGTTCATTTTTTGTCAGATATCAACGCTCGCTTTTAGATAAAGGTTTAAGAAAAACTGAAATATATACCTACCAAACAATATCTATCTATCTATCTATCTATCTATCTATCTATCTATCTATCTATCTATCTATCTATCTATCTACCTATCTATCTATCTATCTATCTATCTATCTACCTATCTACCTATCTATCTATCTATCTATCTATCTATCTATCTATCTATCTATCTATCTATCTATCTATCTATCTATCTATCTATCTATCTATCTATCTATCTATCTATCTAATACATATATAATAATAATAATAATAATAATAATAATAATAATAATAATAATAATAATAATAATAATAATAATAATAATAATAATAACATATTTCACGCTATAATATATTGCGTGTACCAAATAACTTGAAAAAACAACGGCAAAGCCTAGGACCGATTTTTAGTAGATCAGTACTGCAGTTTGTAAAATAAAAAAATAAAAAAACATTTAATATATCGATGATTTTGTTTTGTCTATCAAAGTTTATAGGATGTGAATTTGGCTGATTAAAACAGGCGTAGCGAATAATTATCATAAAGGTATTTTAAATTTCTTTAAACTTACCTACTAAATAATTTTGTGAGGATTTGCAGAGAAGTATGTATCTGTATGTTTTCCTGTGAGACAGGTTGAGGTTAAACCATCTGTGCTCATGATGTTTCTGGCTGACTGCCTATTTTCCGTCGTAATAGTGTTTGGTCAGTATGTATATAAAAACACACTAGTAGGCCTAGTAGGCCACTAGCTATAGAAAAAAAATGTCATAATAGATGTGTGTGTGGCTATTCATAAGCGCAGACCAGCTTTAGCTCCTATGTGTTTCAAATGTAATAGTCAGACATACAAAAAGATGAAGGTATAAGGAAATATTTTTAGAAACACTCATCTACTCCCTGCGCGTTGATTTTTGTGTTGGTTGTTTTGTTTTACATCAATGATCAAAATCATCAAAAAAAATACAATATACATCCAGATAGCATTTTATAATGTTAGTATTAAAGATGGATTGTGCCATCAGTTTATTATTATCATTATTGTTATTATTCTTTATTATTTTTATACTAAAGAATCCTTATAAATTTTCTGTATTATTATTTAAGCCTATTTCTAACAGGTTAGTCAAAGTTATACATAATGGGAAAATAGCCCTTCATTTTTTTGGATGAGCGGCAGGTTTTTCGAAATTTTTCCTTTTTTATAGTTTTAACATTTTTATAGCATATAATCGCTGTAGGCCTTTTTATCGACAGGCGAGAGTGTAAAATTAAAGAAACGTCCTTTTTAAAGGCTGTAGAGTTTGAGTATTTCTAATGGGATTCAGTTGATTAAAACGGGAAATTTATGCGCATGTTGCATAAAATATCGGCTGTCTTATGGCTGTCCGTTTCGTCCTCAGTGCATATTCATATTTCCGCTTTGCTTTATTTGCTCTTACTGCAGGCCCAAGGACGCGGAAATTGAAAAAATCCAAAAGCAGCAAAGAGGACAAACGGCCTCGGACGGCCTTCACGGCCGAGCAGCTCCAGAGGCTGAAGACGGAGTTCCAGGTGAACCGCTACATCACGGAGCAGCGGCGGCAGTCTTTGGCCACAGAGCTCAACCTCAACGAGTCTCAGATCAAAATCTGGTTTCAGAACAAGCGAGCCAAGATAAAAAAGGCCAGCGGCTTTAAGAACGGCCTGGCGCTGCAGCTGATGGCACAGGGACTATACAACCATTCCACCACAACCATCCAGGAGGGCAAAGAGGACAGTGACTGAAGAGCTGAGCTGTTGATTGGACACTGCTTCTGATCCTCTCCTTAACATTAACTGACTCTTCTTAGAGGAGGCAAAAAGACTAGTGACACAAACCAAAGATTTTCAACAGGACATCTGTTAAAATGATGCAGCTCATGTTCAGCTTCAGGTCCCACAGAACCCAGGAGAATAGTCCAGTTTGGCTGCAACAATCCTAACACGTTGGACACTAATAGTCCTCTAGGATGGTTGGATGGACAAGAGAAGATATGCAGCCAATTCACTGAAAAAGCTGCAACTATCCAGAGGGGCCATTGCCTTTTCACAATCAGCTGTAAGCTCAATGGTTTTTTTATTATTATTGTTAGGTTTGTCCATGTTAAGATTACTGCTGTTATTACTTGGATTATCTTAATCCAGCACCATTTAGAAATTATTTCAGTTGGACAATAAAAAAATCCCAATAAGCCTAATAAGATATAGCCCTACAAACGTCTAAACTAAACACGAACTGCTAAATTAATTAGGCTACCAGTTTATTGTTTAAAAATAATACATTATTTGGCAGAGAGTTAAGTTACAGTAACAGATAGCCTACTAAACAAAACGCTAATGCTCATCATTTGAAAAAAAAAAATTATAGGTTCTGTTTGTAATTTAAATGTGAGTATTACATAATTCGTTTAAACTTTAATGTAGCTAATATTGTATGCCAATTTATACAATTATTTTCCATAACGCAAGAGGTTCGGATCAGGACTGTTGTAGAGATACAACTACAGAAAGATAAAGCCATGTTTGCATTCAGGCTAAATCTTTCCAAATAAACAGTTTTACGTTCCATCAAATATATTCATAGCAAGCCCGTTTTTTTCCCCTCAGTGAATGAAACTGAATAGTCATTAAAACTGCAAGTGTCTGCTTAGAAGCGGAGGTCTCGGCTCATATGTGGGAGAGGTGAGCTCACTCCGCGGAACGCGCCGCTATCAGAGATGTTGAAAGCGTTGCAGAGCATGAAATTATCTTCTCTCTACATTCAGCCATTTCATCAGCTGCCATCCAAATTCACGCTTTGAACACAAATATGCTGCGATTATGGCGTTCAGCTTCCCTGGGCTTAAGGTCTGCTGTCGGGAAAACAAAGAAAAAAAGAAACACCCATTACGGGTAATTGGAAATTAGGCGTTTATTTTACAAAATATATCAAGTCGTTGATGTCTGGACTGCTTATACATTATCTAATAAAAATAATTTAAAATCTTTAAGCAATTCAAATTTTATTTTAAATGTTTTAATACTGTTTTTTTTTTATGTTGTTGTTGTTTCAGTTCAGTCAAATAAGGAGTCAACAGATATCAGCCTACACATCGCGGGCCTATTCAAACACCTCAATTGAAACAACACAAAATAAGTCTTGTTTGTTTAAAAAAAATCTAAAAAGATTAATTTTCTCACCAGAGATGGCCATTTATGAATGTGTGTGAATGTAGACATGAAGATGCTGCCTCAATATGCTCACATAGGCTACATGCACATCCCACACTTAGAAATAAAAAACTTAAACGTTTTGAATGCAATTATTCATGCAAACATTTTGGATATTTATGATACAAATTTGTAAAAGCTGTCATACATATAAGATGTAAATACGGTATGAATTGTTTTATAGCAGGTGCAGGTAACGGTCCTGCAAATGTCAGCCAATGTAACACTGAGCTTGATGCTTAACAGATGAATATAACTTATGTTCTGCAGAAGTGGCTGTTTATAATAAAACATATTTTCCTTAGTAAATGCATTTGTGCTTGATTAGAAAAGATATACACATCTACCAATGAATTCTTAAGGATACCAAATTTTCGCTCCTGTGTATGTATCTCTATCTACTCATCTATAAGCCATTTTCTACTTTATGCCAGGGTTAGTGTGCAGGGTTAGGAGACACTTGTCATTGAGCCTTGACTGAAAAAAGGTGCCAGTTTAGGGGATGGTCACAACTGTCATCAATTTAACAAGTTAACAAGTATAATGAAGCCTGTTTTGGCAATTACTTATTCATATGTAGTTACTTTAACACAATTGCTTTATGTCCTAGCATGCTAACATGAAACAATTGTGTTAAAGTCACTAAATATCAGTAAATGTCACAAAAGCTTGCATTATTTTTTTCAGGGTGTGTGTGTGTGTGTACTTTTTTAAAATGCTAACCTTTTTTGCAAACACATTTTAATGCACTTGTGCATTGAAATTGATATTCAATCATGTTTTTATTACATACCTGATCAACAGTAACTGTACACTACATTAGCTATAGGTTTGTTGGTGTTATGGTTCTTATGTTAATTCAAGTTGTCTAGTTGGACGCCATGCGGGCATGTATTTAATATTTGAGGGGATTTTATTAGCATTTCACACATTTTGTAACGAGGTCTTCTCACTCCCAACTCGTCAAATACTGATGCCACCGGGGTAACCCTCTCGTCTTATAATGACGCCCATGGCTAGAGAAATTTGGCATGTGCAAATCCTTTGGCTGTGTCCTCCTAATGCCAGACTCATTGGCCGATTACATCATAGCCTTCATAGACATTTAATCCTAATTTGTGTATTAGTCACATCTGTGGCACAATATAAATGTTCCACAATTAGGTGGGGGGAGGGGGGGTAAGCCAAGGGCCTTGTTAATTCTGTCTCATCCACATAAGCAAAGTAAGACAGTTCATATACATTTATCGCATCTTTAGTGCAGGGTACAAGTCACTTTCGTTTCTGTCTTATAATTTTAGACAGAGGGTTTAGAATTGACAAATTACCCTCTCAATGTAAGGGGAGCTTTTACAACCTAATGTTTTAAAGAAATACAGAAAATTCTGAAGCCTATGAGCATACATAGGCATGTTAAGGGGATTATGATCTCATCAATATCAACCTTTGTGATATAAGTGTCGTAAAAAATAAATAAATGAAGAGTTCTGTGTTGATAGCCGGCATCCATAAATCCAGTCCAGTCCCTACAAACCAAAAGTCCCTGATCAGCTAACCTAAGACCTCTGAGGGAATAGTCAGTGAGGCCAGTACCAAAACCTTTTATTATAGACATCAGTCTAAGGGAATGACTGATATATACGGGGAGAAATTCTTTGGGCCCATCTGGTTTTCTCTTATATGGCAATTAAACACACTCCAAATCAGAAAGTAGTTGAAGTATTATTTCAGCTTTAGAGATGAGCTTCTCCAGGGAATAAAAAACACCAGACATGAATGGGGTCAGCAGAGTTGCATCCTCTCCAGTGCAGCATAACTTGCTAAAGAGGCTGGAGGGTGGCTCCAGCTTAGTTTTATAACCTCTGGTGTGTCGATGGAGCTGCAAGGCATGCTTGGAGCCGTAGTTATTGTTTGTTTATGATTACTTTGACACAATAGGCACCAAGAAAGCAAAAAAAAAAAAAACAATTCTGGGCATTTAAACACTAGATAATTTTAATAGATATTTCTGATTTGCAAACAACTATAAATGGAGATGGAATATGATGCAACAATGTGTAAGGTTAGACATTTTTCAAGTATATCTAATAATGCGTTTTCCTTTACTTTATGCTGGCTTTCTAGATGTTTCTGATATTTTGGATTATAAAACCCCTATTTATAATAACCCCAGGTTCACACTGATTGTGTTCCGTATATGGTGATGACCTAATAATGACCCGCAAACCATGTCATACTACAATCCACATTGGTTGCTTGTTTGATTCCTTCATGCATCCTAGAATATCTTAAAACTAGGATGTTTACAAAAGACACATGTGGTAAACATGAGCTTGATCACTCCTCAAGCCTCCCACAACTCACCATCCAAGTGAACCTTTTCCAGTTACCCCATGACATGAACAGAGACCATGCACCAGAAGGAGGAGGAAATAAGTAGGTTTACAAGTGGAACTGGGTCCCCCGTTAACCAGGGCTTTGCTGGGATCCGAACTATGCTCTGTGTGGGTCAGCAGTGTTTCAGTAACAACTGGATTTTTGTGGGATTTTGTGCAATTCATATAAACTCAAATTAACAGTGTCTCCAGTGGCTCTTTACCTATGTGCTTTTGTTTAGTGTTTTCACTTACAGTTTAGAGAATCAAAGCAATAGTCCAGTAAAGCATTACTTTACTGAACCGAAATTGGGACCTCTGATTTTATGGACTTCTAAAGCCAGACTTTGTTCCATCTAAGCTACTACTAGTAGCTCTTAAAATCCCACCTCTGGGGAAAAGGAGAACAAGGAGAGAATGTAAACAAAATAAGGGCAGGCAGACCAAGCTGTGTGCGAGACTACAGGCTAACCCACACAAACTGGTTCTTGCTTGTCTCCTCCTAGCTAACACTGGATCCCTAATTTTACAAGATTAATTTAGGATCGTCTCACAAATGATGAATAGCTGCCTCACAATCAATAGTGAGATTTGGCTGGAAAGCAAGGCACTCTTTGTTCTGGGACTCTGTACCATGTCTGTTTGAGAGAGAGACACTCTTCTTTCTATAAAGAAATGGTTGAAATATGGTGAGACCTGTGATTATTAACTGATTATCTTTTTTGGACTCTGTGTATATTAATTGAGAATTGCGTTACTGATGTTTTTGTTGCAACTTGTGGGGTTTCACTGTTTTTTCTTTTGTTGTTTTTTTTCTAATTGTAGTATTTTGTATATTGTTATCCTGATGTTGGCTGTGCCTGAGAAATAAAATGGGATAAAAATTAGCTTGTATGTAAATCTTGTTTATGCAATACATTTTTTGTGCAAATAAATTAAAAATAAATAAATATTAAATACATATTTATTTGCAGAGAATTTAAAAACTACCATTAAAACACATGAAAAAATATAAATTTTTAAAATTCTAATGTTTTCTCATTCATTTCTGCAAGATCTGTTCTAAATTTACAATGTTTTCTTGGATAATATTTGAATCATTTTAGCTCTCCTACCTTACACAGACCTAACCTAATACATTAACATTACATTGTGAACATAGAGCCAAATGATCAACATTTTTAAATGTCTCAGACTTGGCAGTACAACTATAATTAGAACCAAGGTTTCTTTCTCATTCCATTTCTCCTAGTGGTGCTGCCTTTTGTCCTGGCTGCTTTCTTGTTCCTTCTTGCCATTTCACTTCAAAACAAAGCATTCTCTCTTGCCCAGTCTATCTACCTCATGTTGCATTCAAAACAGCCAGAAATCAGAACACCCTGCTCATACATTTACAAATGTCAAAAGTCTCAATTCGCAGGTTGCCCGCAGGGATCCCAAGGCTTTGTTTGCCACCCCAGTAGATCTGCTGCTGTGAAGGTGCAAGAGAGACTTCTTTTGTTTCACCTTAGCAAGAAATCAAGCAGCTATTAGGAACCTGCGCAGTTTGCTAATTTGCTCATCTTATCCTGAGAGACAAAAACAAGGTGGAGGAGGAGTATAAATACCTTGGAGAATAAATACCGGTAGTATTGTTTAAATCAAAACATTGGGTTTCCTGTGAAGTACTGTGCCGCCTTCTTCTCTTTCTTTTCTCTTTGTCCTTGGGTGATTAAAGCTAGTTACCTGTTAGCTTTGTTAGCCATTTGTTTAAGTGGGGATCACCCCCACGAATGTGGCCCAGCCAGAGCGAGGGTAGTTGATGTCCTGTAGCTATCTATGGAACTCCATTAATTCCAAATTCCCTTCAGAGCTGTTTATTTCATATTTGCTGCCTGTTTTATGGTTAATTATTCAATGTCTAATTAAGCAAGACTAGCCAGATTTGTCAATTTTTAATTGGTTTATATTTCTTCTCTGAGTAGTTTAGTGTGTTGTTGTAGTATTGTTGAACAAAATACTTTTTTGTACTGGAATTATTTCTTTAATAAACTTTCGAGTAAATTAAGTGTGGTTTTCTCTTTTTCTTTCATTTGGTTTGCTAGTATATCCACTATTGTATGAGGTAAAGGAAAACTTCTTTTAACTTTTTTTTTTTTTTTCAACAGCATAGATGCTGATATTACACTGCTCAACAATAGATGTAGTCCACTCCATTATAAAGAAAATTTGTTATACAAATGGTGGGGGAGGGATTCCAGACATTTCTAAAATCAAATACACAAGAAATTAACATGATTTTTGAAACATTGATATTTGTTAGTCTTTACAAAGTTGGTATTTTTTGACTGGTTTTACTTAACTGGTGAATAACACATGACAGGACTAGAACAATTATTCATTTTTGATTACCTGTGTTTCAATCTGTTATGGAGTAAACTTTCTTTTGTGTTTTAAACTGAAGAGGTGTCACTATCATTTTATAAACCAGTAGCAACATAGTTTGAATAATTGTCATAAGTTGGAGTTCTCACCCTGAGAGGACTAATGTTCCATCTTGGGGGCTCTATTTTATACAGTATTTTAAATTGTTCAGTTGTCCAATTGCATCATTTTCAATAGTACCCCTTTAAATGTTGATTTAAAGGGGCACCAATGGAATTGGATAGGATAAATGTTGATTATAATATATCTGATAACAGATATAACACTGATTATCACTTTACTCTCCATGTTTACTTAATTGATTTCATAACAGCATTGTATGATATTGCTGGATTTTCTTTTTCTATAATTTCTTCCACCTATGATGGACATTTGCGTCTGCAAGGCCTTGCAGGGGAGCCAGCCATTCTCTTGTGTCACTGCTCTGCATGGTCGATCACGGAGGTCCGCCCTTAGACATTGGCTGCTGGGGCCCAACAGGGATTCAGTCTGCCCCTGTGGAAATATTAA